ATTATATCGCCATATCCTTTGCCTCATTTCTCCCCCAGGGAATTATCTGTCTTCTCCTTAATGCAGGATAAATGGTAAGCATTCCATATTAGACTCTTCTATTATCCATTTCTCAGTTAACAGTGCCAGCCACTCAACCAGAGTGCCAAGTTGTAGAAATAATGACACTGTCACTCTGTTTAATCTTCTCGTGAATCCTCCCTTTGCTTCACACTACTTTGCTATGCTAAGAAAGAGTATGAAAAGATAGAAACAAAAAATAGTTTGATTTGGAGACTAGTGATGTCTATCCATGAATGATAGGCACCAGTTAAGTAAAAGGAAAATTTGATCTCAACTGGAGAAAGCTTTGAATCGAAGAGAGCACCAAGAAATAGTTGCTGCAAGTTTCATAAAACAAGTTGATTTAAAGGATAAGGAAGGCTCTTCCTTTGGGAGTTCATTTTCTTTAGAATGGAACAGCAAGCAAATAATAATTTTCAGTGCAAAATATTTCCGCATACTGTGGCCAGCACTGATTAGTTTTCCTGCTACCTAAAGCTGGGAACAGGAACAGGCCAATAAAAACAGGATGATCAATTATTCACTTCCTGTGGAGTTTGCTGTAAAGATGATGTCACTAAGCTCCTAGCAAACTCTCTCATTTTAAAACATGCCCCACAGAAACAAGAATACTTACAATCGTTCCATTTGAGTAGAGACCTAAAGTTCTCCAGTACTCGAACTTGTCAGTTCCCAATCTGTAACCTGCTGTCTGCAATTGGTTATAGAACATTGCCATTGCTGCCTTCCCAGGCAGATTAGAGATGGGCAATAAATGCAGGCCTTACCCACATCCTGAAAAATGGACTTTTTTCACAGTTATCTCTCAGCAAGCATTAATCTAATGTGGACAGCTGTGCCTTGGTGGTTTAGAATCCAATGATGCCAAGCATGCTGGCATCTCCATGACGAGTGTTAGATACCATCAGAACCACAGAACGTTCTAAAATCAGCTGAAGCAATACGATGGCATGAAAAAGCAGTAAACGTGACAGAAAAGAGGAAATTATGTCAAATTACTCTAATGAACTCAATGAAACAGAGTTTGATGACCGTCGTTTGTTGTGTATCCCTAACTGTCCTTGAGAAGCTGATGGTGAAGAAGAAGAAGATTAACCCCAGCAGAATTTGCATCTCACTAGGGTGTTTGTTTAGCTCAGTAGGTAGCAATCCAGCCTATGGGTTAGTAGGTTCTTGGTTCAAACCTCACCCCCAACATATGAGCAGAAAATCAAAGTTAACATTCTTGAGCAGTACCAAAGAGGTGTGTTGTGAGACATTAAACTAAAGCCAGTCTGCCCTCTTAACTAGACATGACTGACTCCTGACACATGTTGAACAAAAAGCAGGAAGATCTCTCCAGTTCATAGGTTAATGTTCATCCCTCACCTAACCTGTTAAAATCAGGCAGTCTGTTTTTTCTGTCACGTTTCCTGCTTTACAGCAGTGACTTCACTTCAAAAGTAACGTGAGGCGATGAAAGGCACTATAGAAATCAAAATTTTATTCTTTTTAAAAAAAAATGCTGTTTACCTGGCATTTAACCCAAATTCACCCAAAGACTCCAATGGAATAACAATTGCCCTTGCTTAACACTGGAGACTGATTAGACTTCAGAAAATAAGGTTAAAATGTATGAAAAATATACAGTGTACAAGTCTCAATGATCTTTTCAATCAACTTATAAAAAAAACTGAATCAAAAGCATAGCATTAATCAAGTTGCAATCACTAACAAACAGTTTTTAATTTTAGTCTTGGTGTGAGCATCTCTGGCAAAGTGAATATTTAATGCCTAATCCTAACTACCTTTGAGAAAATGGTGTTGGGGTTTCTAATTGAAATAAGCCACTCACCAGATCATTTGGGAGGGGAGTTCAAGACTTTTTGAGCTATCATTTGGAATATTGGTAACAGTAGAAAGGCGATTGGACATTATTTATTCCAATCACACTCTTCTGGAAGGAGTGGAAGGGCTGTGGGTAAAATTACTCAGTTCTTCCTGAGGTTTCAGTGGGAACAAGTGAGAATGGTTTTGGGCTATGATGGGGCGCAGGGAAGAAAGGGGTTGGGAAAGGAGCTATTGTTAAGAATATCACGGTAACTAAAGGTTCTTTAGTGAATGGATTTGAAGCCAGCAAAGCTCTTGGTGAGGTTAACCCTTCATTAAATAATGACTGAAGACTACACTTAGTTACAGCCAGTGAAACTACACCATCTCTATTCATAGTTTCCTCTCTCAAACCGACAGTTTGCCGTCTTTGTAATCAACAGTAGAATTACAGCAGCGAGAATGAGGCTGATTATAAAAGAGTGAGGGGCAGGGAGTGAAAGGCAGAGAGAATGAGAGTGAGTGAGTCAAAATGAGAGAGTGACAGATGGCAAGCTAAAAGCTAGCAGCAAGAATGAGATCGAGAGACAGAGCAAGCAGCCAAACTCAGTTCACTTCATTTGCTTTTGAGCAGGCTGACAATTTAAAACTCATTCAGTAGCAGGCATCTATGGCAGAGTCACTACCTGCAGATTGATGCCTAGATGTAACCTGACCTGCTTTGCCCCTCCTCCACCTCCCATTCCCCCACCTCCATCCCAACCTCCCCCCTTTACCCCTTTTGAATTATGAACTTGACGTCAAACTTCCGATGTGAACCCTTCCACAGCTGAGAGAATGGCATGGCCAGACAGTTAAAGATGAGTTCCAAAGAAAAGTCGTATTGAAACATTAACTTTGCTACTCTGTCCAAAGATGCAGTCTGGCCTGCTGAGTTTCTTCAACAGTTTCTGTTTTTATTTCATATCTCCAGCATCTGCAGTTTTTATTTTAGTTAAAGATGTCAGTTGATTTTGAAAAAAAAATTTAAAATTCAAATGGCATTGACGTGGAATTTTTGTGTGTGTGTGTGTGTGTATGTGTGTGTGTTGGGAGATGTTTATACCATGAGATGCTTTGATAACGTGTCTGAAATCCTGCACGATTATGTCATTTTCTGCTACATTTAATAACTCACCAAAAAAGGCAATAACCCCCCTCCTGCTCACAAGCTGGATATTTGACAATTCCGTATGGTTCTCGATGAATCAGTAATACAGGAATTAAACAGTGCATCATCCACTAATCCTACAATCATGGACCAGCATACCTTCAAATCACTTCATCCTGCTAGAGGAGGAGGCAGAAAACGATATTTGGGAATAAGGATGAGGCGACATTTCTTCAGTCAAAGGGTTGTGAATTTTTAGAATTCCAAAGCACTGTAGATGCTCAGTTGTTGACTATACTCAAAGGAGAAATTCATAGATTTTTGTGAACCATGGGAATTATGGAATATGGGGATACTTCAGATAAGTATACTTAAGATAGAAGAGCAGTAACAATCTTATTGAATTGCAGATTTGGCTCAAAGGTTTAGATAGCCTATTCCTGCTCTTCTTATGAGCAGGAGGAAAGCGGGAAAGGGCATTTGGCTCTACATTTCCTGCTTTGCAGAGATGGAGGTAATTTGAAGGGGAAAAGCAAGGGAAATGTAGCGGACTTGCCTCAGGATGAATCCCTGGCACATTCTTACCTCAGGGAGCCTTTCCCATGGCAGCTGGGAAGAGTTATGTGCCCACTACAGGGCTGCAGGCAGCCAGTTAGGGTAATTGAGGTCCCACCTAGGAGCTAACTTGCAAATAATGATGGTGCAGAGTCAGAGTGGGCCCTCAACGTGTGCGGAGCCCCCCAATTAAGTTAGTGTGGCCTCAATGGTAGGCCGGGGTGCTGTCAGATCTGGAAAGTCTGTGCCCTTCCGCAGGGGTTTCCCTTCCACCCCCTTGGTCTATCAGTGTCAGGCCTCTTCATTTGCTGACAAATATGCCTCCATGTTTCTGCACCCTGATGCTCTCCGACCTGTCTCAGCAACATCCATCCCCCTCAGTAGGACAAGGCCTCTCCTTGGGCATCTATTCCCCTTTATTGGCTGAGGCTCCTGAAAGCTCTTTCTCAGAGATTTGCAGTGGAGCATCCAATGACAGCCACTTCCAGGTTCCTGATCCAGAAAGTTGGGATCACAACCCAATCTGGAAAATCTAATCCTTTGATTCACAGGCATGTCTGACCAAACACCCACCTCCATCCAGATTTCAACAGTCCCAACAACTATGGGGTCCAGATTTAGTGGAAGGAAAGAACTTACATTCACATAACACCTACAAGGCTGTCACAACGCAATTTGGTCAATAAAGTACTTTTGAACTGGAGTCAATGTAGTTGTGTAGGAAATGTGGCAGCCAATTTTGACACCAGTTCCCATAATCAGCAAGTGATAGCAACCAGATGATCGCTCTTTATCATATTGATTGTGGAAGAAGTTTTGTCCAGGACCCTGGGGAAAAATCCTTGCTCTTGCCTGCTTTGTCAGAGGGTCAACACTGACAGTGTGTTGAACTGCAAACTGTCAAAAGAGACTTTGAACCAGAGTCTCACGTGCCCTCTGTGTTGAATGTAAAGGACCCTATAATGCTGTGATGGGGAAGAGTAGGGGAATTCTTCCCAATGTCCTAACCTGTAGTTAATCCCAACCACTGTCACTTAAAAAAAACTGTGCTTTTTGTGGGATGTCCTTGTGTACAAATTGGCTTCTTCAGTTCCTACCTTCCCACAGGACTATATTTCAACAAAGTATTCATTCAGTGTAAGGGATTAAATAAATGCATGTTTGTCATTTTCTTTTATTCCTCTTACCTTCTCTCTTTTTCTTAAACGATCTCTTCTTTCCTCTCCCTTTTTTCCTCTCACCCCCTATTTTTTTCAATCATTCTCTCTTTCTCAATCTCCTTTTGTCACTGCCTCCTTTCTCTCTCTATCTTTCTGTTTACTTCCCACTGTGCTTTTCTCACATAATTTTCTGTGCCTTTTGATTGCAGCCCACCTGCCTTGCTGTTTATTTTTAACTGACGGATCTCTGTTTCTGTTTCTAGTGTTTGGTTATTGGAGCTGGTCCTTGTGGCCTGCGTACCGGCATTGAACTGGCTTTCCTGGGCTGCAAAGTCGTGGTGATAGAGAAGAGGGAGACCTTTGCCAGGAATAATGTCTTGCACTTGTGGCCGTATACCATTCAGGACCTGCGCTCTCTGGCTGCAAAGAAGTTTTATGGCAAATTCTGTGCAGGAGCAATAGATCACATTAGTAAGTACCTTGCAGAACTCTTGCTTGATAACTAACCTCTAGCTCCCAACTTTTGAAGCATTGGAAATGATTTAAAGAGAAGCCATTGGATGATGCAGCACAAGAGGAGTGCATTTCACCTATTACATAGAATCACTGAATCGTTAGTGTGGAAGCAGACTATTCGGCCCATCGAGTCCATGCTGACCCTCGAAAGAGCATGCCACCCCCCGACCTATCCCTGTAACCTTGCATTTCCCAAAGCTAATCCACCTTGCCTGCAAATCCCTGTACATTGTGTGCAATTTAACATGGTCAATCCACCCAACCTGCACGTCTTGGGATTGTGGGAGGAAACCTGAGTATCTGGAGAATGTGTAGAGTTTGCACAGAGCATTGCCTGAGCCTGGAATTGAACTCGTGTCTCTGGTGCTGAGAGGCAACAGTGCTAACCAGTGAGCCACCATGCCATCCAGACATCTCTGGCAGACCTTGCAAAGAACTTTTCGCATAATTCCATCCAGTCTGCTCGATTCCCATAGCCGTCTAATGTTGTACCTGTTTACTTTTCCATTGTTTTAACTAACAGAGTATTAGGAAAATAAATTCATAATCATTTTTCTGATCAAATGATTCTCATCTTGAAGTGTGGGTTTAGTTTTGTATTTTTACAGATTTAATATTTTGCTGATAGGTATTCGGCAGCTACAGCTCATACTCATTAAAGTTGCGTTGTTACTGGGTGTGGAGATCCAAGTGAATGTGGAGTTTGTGCGGTTACTGGAACCCTCCGAGGATCAGGAAACCCCAAGTGAGTTTGTCATTTCTCTTTCTCTCCCACTCGCTCTTTTCTTTCCTCCCCCACCTTTCTCTCATTCCCTCCCTGGTCCCGCAAAACACTAACCATCTCCCTTTCAGCACTGCAAGTGGCAACTAGTATCATAACCCCAGGTCCTTGCATCATATGCTTCCCAGACTTTGCGAGCTACTTAACCATGGCAGGTATCATCATTCATCAGCTGATAGATTTCCACAAGACCCCGTCCTAGTCGGATTGGTCAGGTTGCTCACATGCACTGTAGTAACATTTCCCATGGTCCACGATGCACTGAGGCTAGCCACCAATCCCCTATGGTCAACCTAATTGAATTGCAGTGGCAGCTGTGTCTCAGTTGGTAGCCTATTTGCCTCTCAATCGTTAGATTGTGGGTTTAAGTCCTACTCCAGATTCTTCAGTACTAATGTCGAAGCTGACTCTCCCGTGAGATACTGAGAAAGCACTGCTCTGATGGTGATCTGGTTTTTGGTACCCTCATCTGCCTGCTTGAGTGGATGTAAAAGATCTCATGGTATTGTTTCAAAGAAGTTATCTTTGGCCCATATAGCCCAGTCCATCACACAAACCGGTCTCCCATCTATTGAATTCATCTATACTTCCTACTGCATTGGGAAAGCAACCAACATAATCAAAAAATTCCTCCTGCCCTGGTTATACTCTCTTCTGTCGGGAAAAAGATATATAAGTTTGGATACATGTACAAACAGATTCAAGAACAGCTTTTTCCCTGTTGTTATCAGACTTTTGAATGGATCCCTTTAATGTTAACATTGATCTCTCTCTGCACCTTCTCAGCAGCTGTAACATTGTATCCTGTACTCTGTTCTGTTACCCTGATGCACTTTGTACATGATCTGCCATAAATGATGTAAGACAACACTTTTCACTGACCCTTGGTCAATGTGACAGTAATAAGTCAAATCAAGTCAAAACAGCAAATTAGCTGGCCATTATCTCATTACTGTTGTCACTGCTGTGTGCAAGTTGGCATGTTTCCTACATTACAACAGTTGGCTATGCATCAGAAGTCGATCTTGAGATATCAGGGTTTAGAAATGTGTTTTTTTTTTGATTACCTTGCAGACCCAGAGATCAAAGTTAGCTATCGAAGTATGGGAGAATTAACGGCCTTACCTTGTCTCTAAATGTTGCAGTTTTAACATGCTGCTCTTCAAATATGTGAACTTAGAATCATAGAATCTTACATTGCAAGAGGAGGCCATTTGGCCCATCATGACTCTACTAGTTTTTTGAAAGAGCGATAAAATTAGACCAATTATTTCCCTTCTGAATATTTATCCAATTCTTTTTTGAAAGTTATTATCGAATCTGTTTCCATTGCACTTGCAGGGAACACATTCTAGCTATTAACAACCGGCAGCATTAATGAATACTTTTCATTCTCTCCCAGTTTTTTTTTTGCCAATTGCAAAGTTCTCTTCAATTTGGACTTCAGTCATTCACTACTCATGATGGAAAATATTATTAGACTCTATGGGGTTACCAACATAATGTGAGGACCATGAAAAATGATGATGTGGTTCTCTGGCTGTCAATCCTGTATATTCTCCAAATCCTGCCAAGGTCAGATTGCCAATATCGCCACCCATGCAGTGCTAAACGATTTGAAGAATAAGAAATAATAAGGTTAACTTGCCTTCCTCAAAAATCTGATACTAAGTATACTTGATCATCTAGTTGAAGACTTGGTTAGTCAGATGACCTCTGGTTTCAGGGTTATCCCAAGCAAGGCTACTGCCTTAACAGTGACTGACACATTCAGCTCCTGTTTTAATTACATCAGGTCCCAGAGTCTTTGGTGTTTAATAGCAGCAACGATTGTGTTTCCAATATAAATAAGTGATCCAATGTGCTAAATAAATAAATGCAAAAACATCGAGTCAGAGGAGGGATTTACAGCACAGGAAACCTATGTTTTGTTAAAATGATTCCCGAAACATGGGCCTAACAGACAAAGCAGACGTTTGTTTATTGTCCATCCCTAGTCTTCCTGCAACTGTGAGCTGCCACTCTGAATTGCTGATTAAGGATTTAATACACTGAGTGTCTTTCCAGGGAAGTTTTATTTTTAAATTTCAAAAATATACTTTATTTATAAAAAATATCTTTATATACGTAGTAACTGGAGCAGCTCGTTTCTGTACAGTAGCATGTGAAGAAACAAACAAACATTGGAGTTTGACTCTATCCAACAAACAAACCAAAGGCATTTCTTACTTGTGTAAGATACTATTTACATACACTTGAGGCACTGGAGGGCCCAATAACTGAACAGACTCCCATTTAACTTTGGCAGAAAGACCTTGGTGCTGTGGGGAAAGACCACTGTCTTTGGTGGAAGCTGCCCCAAGCTGTAGTGCATCCCTCGGTACCTTTTCCAGGATCTTGGAATGTGCCAGTCTGCAACACGCGGTTGGGGGTCAACTCCTTGCTCTGGAAGACCAACAAGTTTCGGGCTGACCAAAGAGCACCTTTCACCAGTCAATGTTTGTCTCGGTGTGTGCCCCGGGGAACACCCTGTAGAGCACAGAGTCCTGCGCATGGAGCTGCTTCGGATGAACATTGACAAAACCCACTGCACCTTTCTCCAGACTTCCTTTGCAAAGGCAGGCACATGCCAGAAGGATATGTGTGACAGTCTCTACCCGAACACAGTCACCTCAAGGGCAGCGTGCAGTGGTGCAGACTGACTGGGCGTAAAAGAAGGATCTCACAGGTCGTGCCCTTCTCACCACCAGCCAAGCGATGTCTTGGTGCTTGTTGGAAAGTTCTCGTGATGAGACATCCTGCCAAATGACTTTGACAGTCTGCTCAGGGAAACATGTGACAGGATCCACCTTCTCCTTTTCCTGTAGGGTCTCAAGGACATTACATCCTGACGACATCCTGATGGCCTTGTGGTTAAAGGTGCTTCTCTTTGCAAATTTCTCCACGAAGGACAGGTGATACAGAACGGTCCAACTATTTGGGACATTTAATGGCAAAGAGGCTAGTTCCATCCTAAGCAACACCAGGCAGGGACAGGTAGAAACTCAGTACATAGTGACAGTTGGTGTTTGCGTCCTGAGGGTCTAAGCACAGTTTGACGCAGCCACACGCGCCATGTACAACAACAGAGAGGAAATGGAGAGCGAGTAGCGCTCTCAAAAGCCCAATTTTTGCCTCACTTTGGCAATGTGTTCCTCCCAAGATTTTGTGCATGCCCTGGCCCCTCCAAACCATATTCCCAGCTCCTTCAGGTAGTCTGTCCTGATTGTGAAGCAGATAAAGGATCAGTCAGCCCAGTTCCCAAAGAACAGGGCCTTGCTCTTGCATCATTTTACCTTGGCTCCCGAGGCCAGTTCGAACTGGTCACAGATGCTCGTGAGTCTGTGCACTGACTGCGGATCTGAACACAAAATGGCGACATCATCCATGTACGGGGAGGCTTTGACCTGCAGGCCTCCACTGCCTGGAATAGTCACCTCTCTCAGACTCACATCCTTCCTGATGGACTCAGCAAAGTGCTCCATACAATACACAAACAAAGGGTGTGATGGAGATGACTGGTTTCCTTTTGTAAAAGGCCACAATTGAATCACTTGGGTTTTGATGACGATCTGACAGCTTCACAGTCACGTTTACTGAAACCAGCTTTTTATTTCCAGATTTTAGTATTCCTGCAAAAAATAAAAGACACAGTTTGCCAGAGATTTATACCTTACACTCCTTAGGACAATTCTTAATAAATATCAATGAAAAGGAAAACATCATTTATACTGTATGAGAGAAAAAGTGATGATTGATTGGCAAGTGGACTCTGATTAGTAGAGACATTGCCATGGAAAATCTGCCAATTAGATAACCACTGGCAGTTAATTGCTAATTAGTTTAAGTTTTGAGACAGGCAGATTGACTCTTTTGACGAAGGCATTGCCCTGGAAAATTAACCAAAGAACGTTTGTTCACCTAATTCGTTGAGTTGAAACAGAATGTCTGAATGTGTACTTTCTGTTTGCAAAGAAAATGGCCCTGTCCGTTAATATATGTAGCTTTCATTATGTACATTGTGAGCCTGACTGACCATCCTAGAATGGTTGTCAGTATAATTCTTTGCACGCTCAGGATTATTGAGCAGTTGTTGTCTAATTTCAGAATCATGCCATGTTGAGCACCGTGCTTTGAGTTTCGCATGCACATGATTATGCTTGGGCATGGTCAGTACCTGTCTTATGAACAGGGCAAGGGATATGCTTTTTGATATAATCCTTCTCCTTTGCAGGCAAAAAGTGCAGGTACAGACACTGTGACCCCACCCCACTTTCCCCGGTTTATGGTTGCTCTCCATCAACTCTGATGAATCCATTATAATTTTGAATGCCTCAATTTGATCACTCTCATCTCACAACCTTCTAACTTGAAGGAAATATAAGCCTAGTCTATATATTGAACAGAGAATTCCAACTTGTGTCTGGAGTTGATTTTCAAAAAAAACCTTGTCACCCTCTCTCCATGGGCATTTATTGCCTTCTGTAAAGAAATTGTGACGCACATCAGGGTATCTATTTCATCGTCTGTGCTGCTAGTGTCATCTAAAACCCTCCATTTGTTACATTGAATCACAACAACATGATGTACTAATGATCACGTACACATTAACCTTATCCATGCACGTTAATTATGCTCAAAAACACAGTGTTCAGAATATCTTGATAAACCCATCAAGACTTCTTCAGTTATGCTTACATTTTTTTTAAAGTGCTGCGTGTTTCTCAGTCCCTGGTCAGGCATTTCCCTTACTGACTCACTTCTGTCTGGAGATAAAGTCTGGAAAAACCCAGACAGCTCCCTTCTACAGCCAGCCTACTGCACCTTCAGTTCAGGCAGCAATCTTTCTTCATGCAAATTCATTGGAGCTATCACTTTCAATCCATCCACTATCCCCAAAATAAGGAAGAGCTTGCAATTTTGTACTTCCTTTCACAACCTCGGGACATCTCAAAGTATTTTATAGCCAATTAAGCACATTTTTTTTGAAGTGGAGTCTCTACTGGAAGAACTAAGGTCAATTTGTACACATCATGATCCCACAAACAGCATTCTGATAATGGCCAGATAACCTGATTTTACTGATGTTGATTGAATGGTAAATGTTGGCTCAAAGCCCTACAGAGAGTACGCCTACTGCCTTAACAGTTTCCCTGGATCTTCTACATCCATTTGATTTTGCAGACTGTTTAATGTTTCATCCGAGGATCACACCTCTGACAATGCAACACAGTTTTAATACAGCACTGGGAATGCTGGCCTAGATTTTGTGCTTGAATTTTGGGATTAGGACTTGAACCGACCACTTTCTGACTTGGGAGAGAGTGGTAGAAGAAAGTCCGGTTAAGAAAATTGGAAAAATATAGAAAGGGGAGAAATTGGGACAGAACAGGGCAAAATGGCACGAAATGAATAGTTCTTTCTAAGAGCTAGCTTAGGCATGAAAGGTCAAATGCAATCTTTTGTGCTGAATGGTCCTCTGAATCTGAGTGTTCTGTATCCTGGTCATGTTGTATCTGCAGTGCAATGTCTAGGTTTGTTCACTAAAATGTAAGGAAAATATTCAAGCCCTAGAGATTCAACAGAGATGAGTCATGAACATGATTTCTGGAGTTGAGTAATGAGGAAAGATTGGAGAAACCAGGGCCCCCGGGCCATAAACGGAGAAGGGATTAATTGTCTAAATCAGCTAAAGTTTCTTTACAACCTCCTCGCCACTCTCATAGTTTTGTATCATCAGCAAACTTGGAAATATTGTCGTAAAGGATTTTGCGAATTGGTTTAGCTTTAAGACAATCCGACATCTTCATGGTTACTTTCACTTAGCCAGATCATGAATATGATCAGTAAGTTAATGACCCACTGTTTGTTTACAGCATTTTCGGGTTTTTATGTTGGATTTCTAGCGTGCACAGTATTTTCAAGGGGTAGATAGTTTAGGTTGTACACTTGACTTTTGGGGCTTTGAAGAGACAGGTTAAATGGAAAGTTGGAGTTGGAGGGTCTTAGTGGGCACAAGTTGGAAGATTTTATTTTCAAACTTTATTGAAGTGCATGGTGCTCAGTAATAATGTATATATATTTCCCCGAAAGTAATTTGCATACTATTCAATAAATATTTGGCAGTTGCCTCGCCTGTGGTACTCAGATGTTTCTAAATATCTCACTGCAGGATTTTCCCCACCCCAAGAAATGATTGGAAAAGTGGCAGAAAGGGCAGGCAGTCAGGTGGGGAGATACTACTCTGTTCCTGCCGCATCAGAAATTAAGTTCTGGTGAAAAGGTTGGGCCTTCTGACCCACTGCTAATTGATGCCTTTAAGTGTTCAATGAACAAGCAGTTAAAGGCCAAAAACAGAAGTAGCTGGAAAAGCTCAGCAGGTCTGACAGCATCTGTGAAGAGAAAATCAGAATTAACGTTTCGGGTCCAGTGACCCTTCCTCAGGACCCAAAATGTTAACTCTGATTTTTCTTCACAGATGCTGCCAGACCTGCTGAGCTTTTCCGGCAACTTCTATCTTTGTTCCTGATTTACGGCATCCGCGGTTCTTTCAGTTTCATTTAAGCAGCTAAGGGCCTCTTCCAGTCACTGCCCCAACAGGCTCCTGTGGTATAGCTGTAGTGTGCCTACCTTTAGGCCAGGAGACCGGAGTTCAAGTCTCATTTGCTCCAGAGCTGTGTCGTTACATCTCTGAGCATGATGATTTGGAAAATATCTCCACTGCCCCAATTAGCTTTGTTCCTGGCAGGCCAGAAACATGGAAGCTGCTTCTTCTGAAGAAGTAGTCATACTGGACTCGAAGCGTTAACTCTGTATCTTTCTTCACAAATGCTGAGCTTTTCCAGCACTTTCTGTTTTTATTTCAGATTTCCAGTAGCTGCAGTACTTATTTTGAGTTCCTAGAGCACTAGTCCAGTCCTCGGGATTACTAGTCCAGTGCGATGACAACTACACCATCATCTCTCCGCCATATAAACACTTAGAAAATCAAGAGTGCATAAAAAGAACGAGCTGTTTTAGTTCAAATTCTTTTATACATATTTGAAATCTAGTGTTTTTAGAAAAAGGTTTCCAGGATGTCAATGTTGCTTTTGCACATCCCTAATACCAAAGGCGCTGGTGTGCCAATTTCTCGAAATGCTGCAGTCCATTTGGTCTAGCTACGTCTAGAATGCTACCAAGAAGGGAGTTCCAGAATTTTATCCCAGCAACTGTGAAGGAACAGTGACATAGTTCCAATTGTGGATAGTACTTGTGATTGAATGGGGGTGGAGTTCACCTGCCCCTCTCCTTGGGGTGTTTTTAGATGCTGCCCAAGGAGCTTTGCTGAGTTTGGTGCTTGTTCCACAGTGACTATTTAAGAATGTGTGTTGTCTGACTGTGGGATTTGCAAGAAATTCACCCAGACTGCTTGTCTCAATTTTTTGGTGTGTTCATCTCCAAGTGGATAAATATAGTGCATCGCAAGTGTGCAAGTAGGAGGTGGGCTTGTCCCTTGTTGGGTCCAAAGTGGTCAACTGTACCCTGATTATAACTTTCTCAAAGATAATAATAGTCACCGCCTGGAAAGTATTTCTGGCACGACAGGAATGTCAGCCAGCAGCCCATCCAATCTGCCTTGATGTTCTGAGTGGCCACTTCAAGTTTGTCTGAGTATCTAGCACGTACTTCAAGCCAGTCTGACACTGTGTGCCCATAAGTCGTCAGTGCAATAACTGCCCAGGAGACCATTCCACATAAACACTTGTCATAATCTAAACAAAGCTATGAATAGAAACACTGCTTCCCTCGACTAGTTAACCTCTTAAGCCTCCTTTACTCAGTTTGCATTAGAATGTGACTTCTTTGGAAATGAGAAAAGATTTAACCGTCAACTGTCTGCTCACTAAGCAAAGGAAGAAATTTCTACATTTCTCTATCTGCTGTGAAAAACGTTAAAACGTAGTGAATTTTGCCAGTTTTTGAATATACTTCTCAGGATGTGCCTGTTGCAGGCGAAGGTGATGCTTATTGCAGTTTGCTCGATGTCCCGAAAGCTGATGGTGGTGCAGAGGGAAGCTGCCTTCTTGAAGTGTTGATTGCAAATTTGATGCTGCTGAGTATATTGTGGGGTCACTTCAGAAAGGGCAGTTAAGAATAATGCCTTTTAAAATAGCACTAGAACCACATTAAACCCAGAATGGATAAGGACAGCACCTCTCCTCTAAATGGACTTGAGTGATCTAGTTGATTTTTTTTTACATCAATCTAGCAGCTCATGGTCACTTTTGCCAAATATCAGTTTGTTATTCTAGATTTTATCAACTGGATGCAAATTCTTGAAATGATTGATGGTGGTTCAACTCAAGTTCTCTGTATAAATAGTCCAGTAACATAGCTCGCTACACTATTATACAGTTAGTTATTTCTTATGTTTATGGATCAATATCAAGGACTTGCAAAAATATCTGCTAAGATTTGATCGCTTTCTCATAAGAATTCTGAGAAACTACATTAATAGCTTTATTTATTTACGAAATGTAACAAGAACAGATTTTATTGCACACCACTATTTGCTCTTGAGAAGGTGGTAGTGAGCCACCTCCTTGACCTGTTACAGTCCAACTGGTGTAAGTCCACTCCCACAGTGCTGTTGAGGATGGACTTCAGGTTTCTAGCCTAGCAACAATGAAGGAATGGCCGATATTATTTCTAATCAGTGCGTTATGATATGATTGTCCATGAATGAATTTTGTTTTAAAACTATGCTGAATGATTTCAGGTTTCCTGAGTGTTTTGGAGCTGCACTCGTTCAGTCAAATCGACAGTATTCTATCTCACTCCTGATATGTCCACCGTCTGCAAGGGACAGGCTTTGGGAAGTCAGAAGGTGTTACTCAGAGAATTTTCAGCCTCTCTCCTTTGTCGCTGCTGTATTTACAAGGCTGAGCAAGGGTCACTCGACCCGAAACATTAACTCTGATTTTCTCTTCACAGATGCTGCCAGACCTGCTGAGCTTTTCCAGCAACTTCTGCAGTTCTTTCAGTTTTGATCCAGTTAAGTGTCTTGTCTTTGGTGACTACCAGTTGCTGTGCATCTTTCCTTACAAAATTAAGTTACTTTGGTACTTCCAGATGATATGAAAGACATTTTTTTTATTTTATTGTTTTGTCAACTAGTCATTATCAAATATATTTTAAATTTCCATGGAACATTTTAATTTTCAAGTGTTTGAAGATGTCAACACAATAACTTATAAACAGGACCACTGTATGTTGATGGGGAGTATTTAAAAATTACAAAACATATTGAAGTGTTTAGTTCGCTCACAATGGAATACTGCATTTGCCAATGTAACTAATTATCCCACACTATAATTTAGGACCAGGATGGCGAGCGGAGGTGCGGCCCAGTGATCACCCTGTCTCAGACTTTACCTTTGACGTTATTATTGGTGCAGATGGGCGAAGGAGCAGTTTACAAGGTGACAAAACTTTAACAAAGATTGCTTGCTATCACCTTTCCCTTCATTTTCACTTTTTCCCCTTTTCTCTGTTCCTATTGCTTTCTGTCTATCTGTTTTTTCTCCCTCTCTCTTATCTCCTTCCTTCTCTCTTCTCTTCTATCTCTTTTTTTTGGCCTGTCACTCCTCTTGTCTCCCTTTCTCTGTCTTTTTAAATACCCCCTCCTACTCCTTTCCCATGATATCAATGGAATAAAGGAGGAGAATAAAATCAATACATTGACGTTGAGTGATAGTGATATTCCATAGGACCTACCCTATATAAAGAGGCCCTCCTTATTGACAGTAAATTTCCTTTGTTTAAAATGAGGGATTTGATAGTGTAATAAGAGAAAATATTTCCTTTAGGAAATCTGGAATAACATCAGTAACGTCACACGTTTAACATAATAAAATGTGCCAGGATGTTCCATAATTGTGCTGTCAAACTCTATTTGACAGCTGGTCACATAAGGAGATATTAAAGCAGATGCTTGGCCGAAGAAGTAAGTGAAAGGAGCATCTTAAAGGACAAAAGTGAGCAGACAGGTTTAAGGAGGGAATTCCAGAGCTGAGGTCTCAGGCAGGCAGGGCTACCATTGGTGAATTGATTAAAATGCGGAGATGCTCAAAAGCTGAAAAATAAAGGAGTGCACCTAACTCGGAGGGTTGTGTAGCTATAGCAGGTTATATAGATAAAGCTGAGGGAGACCATGGAAACATTTTTTAAAAAAAAACAAGGACCAGAACCAGTGCAGGTCAACAAGCACAGGGATGACAAATGAGTAGGATTTGGTGTGGGTTAAGACGCAGGCAGGAGCATTTTAGATGAATTCAAATTTATGGAGGATTGGAAATCAGCCAAGAAAATACTGGATTAGTCAAGCTTAGTTGTAACAAAGGCTCAATGAGAATTTTAGCTGTGGATGGAATAAGGATGGGATGGAGTTGGACCATGTTACAGGAATAGAGGTAGGAGGTCTTGTTGATGGAGAGCATATGAAGTTGGAAGTTCATCTGATGGTCAAACTGTATGCCAAAGTTGTGAGCATTTGTTGCTTTAACATTAAAGTACAGCAGTTTGAGTGAAATCCGGAAGCATTTCTTCAAACAAAATGTTGATCAAAATTTGGAACTATTTCTGACAAGTTGAGGGGTGGTCAACTGAAGCTTTGAAGAATTAAATAAATAAATTTCATTGAGAACAATTACAGCATTTAAAAGGCATCTGTGTGGGTATATGAATAGGAAAAGTTTAGTGGGATATGGGCCAGATGTCAGCAAATTGGACTAGGTCAGATTGGAATGTCTGGTTGGCATGGACGAGTTGGACAGAAGGGTCTGTTTCCATGCTGTCCAACTCTATGACACTATAAGAGATATCCAAATAGGTCAAGTTCTGTTTGCTTTCCCATTTTCATCATTGATTAAATCAATGAAATAAATATCCTGATCAACTTCATACCAAGTATAAACTTTTAAAAAGAAATGTTTCATCAACTTTAAGCAAACGAAGTTTTCTCTGAAAAGAAAAGAATTAAACGGTCGTGTTCATCTTTGGGTCTGGGAGATGCAATGATTAGATGTGGAAGAACAACTGAGAATTCATCTCAAAAGGACTGCTGTGGTTGGATGAATACTGGTATAGCTGTGCTGTAGACTGTTCAGTTCCCTAGTTATTTCTGCAGTTAACCTTTCCAATGACAAACCCCGACTCGATGTTTAAACCCTGACTCAAAATTCCTGACTCAAATATGAAGAATAAAAGCAAAATACTGCAGATGCTGGAATTCTGTGAAAAGAGAAACTGAAAATGCTGGAGGAATTCAGCAGGTCTGTCAGCATCTGGGAGAGGGAAACAAGAGTTAATGTTTCCTGTCCAAAGACATTGGAACTGAATACAGCTGGAAAACATAGTCTTTATGCTGTTGACAAAAGTGGGAGAGGAACTAGTGAAACAGATAGTAAGGACGTCCAGAGCAAAAGACAAATGGAGTGATAATGGTTGTAAAGGAGTGATTCATCTATCAAATAGATGTAAACAATAGGCATGAAAGGAGAAAATAGCTCACCTCTGCTGAGAGCAAAGTCATCAAGACACAAGCAAGATGAGAGGTTGGAGAGTAGGTGGGGGTGGGGCTGTGGTAATCAAAATGGAGGATAGTGTTCAGCATGTTGTTGAACTCAATGTTGTGTTTTGAAAGCAGTAAAGTGGCTGAATGGAAAATGAGGTGCTGTTCCTCCAGCTTGAGTTGAGCTTCCCTGCAGCAGATCTAAGACTGTTGGCATGGTAGTAATCAATTAGACTGGCAAGGAACTGTCGTTCTTATAGAGAGAGTGGAGGTGTTCCACTTAGGAAAAAAGCCTGTTGGGGACAGAGTGACCTAATTTTGAATACATGAAAGTTGCAGTAGATTCAATGTTCCAGGACACAGACTGATTATAACTTGGTGCAAAGTTCAACCCCGTTTGGGCCCTTGCTCATTCATTGTTTGTGTTTGGGTTTCTATCTGTCTCTTAGTCACTCCATGCCGTTTTTTTTTATCTCATTGTTTTCTTTCTGTGATTCTCTTCCTCATGTTTTCACACTCATTCTCTCATTTTTACTTTCACTCACACATTCAAACTCTCAAACTCACACATGCACGCAAACAAACTGTGCAACTGGAACTTAACAGAGAATCTGAAATTGGGTTTCAGACTGCATTATGGAACCTGTAGCTCTACAGTTGATATACTCTGATCTAGAGATGCTAACATCAGGTGCCAGCAACAGGAAGTGTTCTGCTTCCTAGTGTCACATGGACAATTACAGATTAATCAAAATGAAGCAAATCAAGCTGCTGTCCAAATTTGATTTTGAAATATCTGCTGTTGCTAACGGTGTCAAGTACGAATGAAAGTAACACACTTAAGACAGCAACAAAATAAAAGCATCTGTAAAAGTTATGGCATAGGGCTTGTTTCTGTGATCATTGTTGAAACAGCTGTGATAATATATTTCAGGATTTAGAAGGAAAGAGTTCCGTGGGAAATTGGCCATCGCCATCACTGCCAACTTCATCAACCGCAACACAACAGCCGAGGCGAAAGTCGAGGAAATTAGTGGCGTCGCTTTCATCTTCAATCAGAAATTCTTCCAGGACTTGAAGGAGGAAACAGGTGGGTGTTGACCTGCCTCACAAGGCACTCCAAACCAAACAGTCTTGTGACAAAAACACGAGACGATACTTCGGGTGGAGGGAAGGTGAAAGTTAAGTTCTCTGGCTGCACAACCCTTCTGATAACAACAGCAGTCTAGCTTTCTACACCGGTCTATCAGCTCCATATCTCACTGTCCTTTACACAGTGAAAACCACCTGTCATCTCTGCAGCAGAATGATGGAGTCTATGGAAGGCATATTGTATGAACAAAGAGCAAGAGCAGGCCATTCAGCCCTCGAGTCTGCTGTGCCATTCAATATGATCATGGCTGATCTTATTGTAGCCTCAAACCTGCATTCTCACTTTCCCCTGCTATCCTTTCACCTCCTTAGCAAGAAACGTTTCACTGCTGCCTTAAAAATATTCAAGGACTCTGCTTCCATCACCTTTGCAGGGAACGAGTCCCAAAGATTCTGAATAAAAACTGAAAGAACTGCGGATGCTAGAAATCAGAAACCAAAACAGAAATTGAAGGAAAAGCTCAGCAGGTCTGGCAGCATCTGCGGAGATTAATCGGAGTTAACGTTTTGGGTCCAATGACTCTTCTTCAGAATGGTTCTGATTTCTCTCCGCAGATGCTGCCAGCTTTTCCAGCAATTTCTGTTTTTTGGTTTCAAAAGATTCTGAACCTTTCTGAGAGAAACAGAATTGTCCAGTTTCTGTTGTAAATGGACAACACCTGATTTTTAAACAGTGACTCCTAGTTCTAGATTTCCCCCATAAGAGGAAACATGCTGTCCACATCTATCTCGTAAAGAACAACCACCTCCCCCCTCCCCCACCATCCCTCCATGATCTTATGTTTCAACCAATCAGTCACCTCCTAATCTTCTAAGCTCTAATGCTACATGCCTAGCCAGTACAAACAAGACAGCCTGCACATTCCAAGACTGAGCTTTGCAGCTAGGAGAAAGGAGTAAGACTTGGAAATGAATTAAACATACCGCACAGAAACTGACAAAGGCTGCTCGACCTAACTAGTACCTACACTGCACGTGAGCCTCCATCCACTCAAACAGTTTCTACCCACTGGCTGGAGAGTACAGGACTAAGGGACATTGTCTAATTACTTAGAACCAGACCCTTCAGGAAGGGAAGTAAGTAGCACTTCTACGCATGAAAGACAGTTGAAGTTTGTAACTCTCCTGCAAATAGCAATTAATGCTAGTTAATTTTAAATCTGGGTGGAATAGATTTTTGTTAAGCAAAGGTGACAGATCAACTGTTGAGGTTGGTTGGCTCGCCGAGCTGGTTTGTTGTTCCGCAGACGTTTCATTACCGTGCTTGGTAACATCCTCAGTGCAGCCTCTGATGAAGCGCCGGTGTCTTTTCCCGCCTGGCTTTTAAATTCTGGAGTCCGTTGAGATGGATTGCCTCACTTCCGGGTTTCCTCCGTAGTGGAATGTATATGGGGTCGAGTTCAATGTGTTTATTAATAGCCTGCTTCGTGGAGTGCCATGCTTCCAGGAATTCTCGTGCTTGTCTCTGCCTAGCCTGTCCCAGGATCTTGGTGTTGTCCCAGTCGAAGTCGTGGTTCTCCTTGTCCATGTGGATTGAGATGAGCGAGTATTGGTCGTGTCTTTTTGTAGCCAATGGGTGTTCATGTACTCTTGTTGTTAGTTTCCTTCCTGTTTGTCCCCGAACTAAAGACCCACTCCCCGCCATGGACAGGACCAATGTCATCTACAAGATCCCCTGCAGAGACTGCGAGAAACACTACATCGGACAAACAGGAAGGAAACTAACAACAAGGGTACATGAACACCAACTGGCTACAAAAAGACACGACCAATACTCACTCATCTCAATCCACATGGACAAGGAGAACCACGACTTCGACTGGGACAACACCAAGATCCTGGGACAGGCTAGGCAGAGACAAGCACGAGAATTCCTGGAAGCATGGCACCCCACGAAGCAGGCTATTAATAAACACATTGAACTCGACCCCATATACATTCCACTACGGAGGAAACCCGGAAGTGAGGCAATCCATCGCAACGGACTCCAGAATTTAAAAGCCAGGCGGGAAAACACACCGACGCTTCATCAGAGGCTGCACTGAGGATGTTACCAAGCACGGTAACGAAACGTCTGCGGAGCAACAAACCAGCTCGGCGAGCCAACCAACCTCAACACCCACAACCCAAGCTACAAATCTACTCCAAAACCTTAGAGATCAACTATTGTGAAACAATACAAATTTGAGGGTTTGAATAATTTTGAAATATGGAATTAAGCCAGGTAAGTGGAGTTATGATACGAGTCGCTCAAAGTCTGATTGAATGTTGGAACAGACCTGTGGGCTGAATGGCCTCCTGCTGTTTGTGTGAGCAGTTTCAGTGGTGAAATTGATCTTGAGAGTGATTTGACTGGTGAAAAATTCTACACTGTTCTAATGTTGAATTTTATGCTTTTTTTTTCAGGAATTGATCTAGAGAATATTGTTTATTATAAGGATAACACACATTACTTTGTAATGACAGCAAAGAAGCAGAGTTTGCTGGACAAAGGAGTGATTGTCAATGTAGGTATAAGCCTTCTTTAGCGGAAGTTGTGTTATGTATGAAGAATGTAATGGTGTCCCTATTTTCCAGCAATAACTGGGGCTCGCTGTCCAAAATTATCAAAGATTTCACTTATCCTCCTGACTGATCCCAGAACTGCGCCAGGCTCACAACACTATCCAACTTGACAGTGGAAACACAGCTCCAGGCGAAGCCTTGTTGATCCCAGTGCATAAAAAGAATCCGCTATATTCAGAAACCCCACCTCACCCCACAGTGAAACTACCAACAGTTCTCACTCTCACTGGCTTACACAATGTTTCTGTCCCTCTTGCCTATGCTTCACACAATGTTGCCTTTTGATTTTTCCCTTACTGCTGGGCATGTGTGAATTTTTTCTTATTTTCGCTCCTTTCTCTTTCTTTTCATTTTCCTTGTCTGCCTCTCCTCTCAGACAAAATAAAAACCGAAAGAACTGCAGATGCTGTAAATCAGGAACATAAACAAATTTGCTGGAAAAGCTCAGCAGGTCTGGCAGCATCTGTGTAGGAAAAGACAAAGTTAACGTTTCGGGTCTGGAGACCCTTCCTCTTCCTCTTTTTTTTCCTCCTCTCAGACTGCCCCGCCCTGCCTCTCTCTCCCCCACTCTGTCTCCACCTACTCTCTCTCCCTGTTCTCCCCTCATTCCCCTCCTCCTTCCCATCTCTCCCCCCCACACCCACCCTCCTCCTAATCTTGCTGTTGTCTCCACCGTTGCTGTTCCTGTCCCATCCCAGCCGACAGGTATCTTAACTCAATCTGGCCACTTTGGTTCTGTAGCCATTGATTCTTTTCCCCAACGAAGGTAAATCTCTGTTTTGAAGCTTTCAAGTAACACCACCCTCCATAGCATTTTAATGGAGAGAGTTCCAGATTTCCATCCCACACCCCCACCCCCAACGGGTGAAGAAGTCTCTCTGAATTTTAAGGAGAGGAGAGCTTTTCTAATGCCTTTGACTCTTGTGTGTCCTTCCTGCAGGATTATGTCGATACAGAAATGCTCCTGTGCAGTGAGAATGTGAATCACGAGGCCCTCTTGTCCTACGCCAGAGAGGCAGCTGACTTTGCCACAAATTACCAGCTACCCGCTTTGGACTTTGCAATGAACCATAATGACCAGCCCGATGTGGCCATGTTCGACTTTACCTGTATGTATGCTTCGGAGAATGCTGCATTAATCCGAGAGAGATTTGGCTATCGGCTGTTGGTAGCTCTTGTTGGAGACAGCCTCTTAGAGGCAAGTGGTTTGTAAACTGCTTTTTGCTTTTTTTGATGGGAAAATAAGCTTTTTCTTTTATGGATCTACGCTCGCAATAATGGGCTTTCCAAATCAGGAGCACATGGGTTAGAAATTCACTGCAGGGGTAGTTCCCTGGATATCTGAGATTATAGGGCAAGATAAAAATTAATGGAACACAGCTATAGCAAGGCACAATCAGTTGCTTGAACCTATTAACCGTTTCAACAGGTATTGGCTGGTCTGTATCTCAACTCCATTTATCTTAATACTCTTTGATAAGAAAATAAAGTCAAAAATACAGATGACCAGCAGCAAGGATGAGCTGATGGTCATAACACCCTTATAATGCACTCAAGACTGCCCCAACCACAGCACCGACTTCTCAAGGCCATGTGCACAAGACAAAGTGAACAGCACTCTGATGCCAACCAAGCCAGACAAAGCAACAGGAGTCAACGAGATTTACCCTGAATTCCTGAAGAATATGAGATCACTGGGAGGAAATGACTAGCAAGGCTGTTTGCCAGCACTCATACCGCAGACAACATTCCAAACATCTGACACTAATGACTAATTATGTCCATTGCCAGGCGAGGGAAACATGCCGGGTGCAGTAACATTGCACTTAAAGTGATGGACTAGCAATCAAGGATCATGAATTCAACTGGAAGTAGTTCAAATTGAACTTAGCAAATTACAGGTGTAACTTGAGGGTTGGTACCAGGAACGTTGGTGATGAAACCCTACAAATTCATCATTAAAAACCCAATCTTTACTATCTGTAAGGGAAGTGAATCTCTTACCCCTGTCTATTCTGACCTGCAGATGACTCCGGCCTGACTATATAGTTTGGTCTGAAGTGACTGAGCCAACTTCCTGGCAGAAGAAACAATTGCTTTTCAAGAAGAAGACACAATGCGAGCAGGAGGAATGAACAATAAATCGAGCCTTGACTAGCAATGTTCACCTCACTTGAATGAGTTTTAAAGTTGTGCTGGAGACATGGATTTAGAAGGAACATCTGGTCACGATTTTCCGTGCTAGAATAGGAAACCTATTAAGACCAAAAAATCCTGCTTATTCCTACCTCCTTCAAAAAAGCAAGACAAAAGTTTGCTTACAACTTCTTTCACAAATCAAGATTTACCTACTTGCTTTACCAGCCAGTTAAGCCCTTTTGAAGTGTAGTCATTGCTGTTTTGTGGAGTTCCAGGAGCACGCCCTCAGCCCTGCATCATGTGCTAAAGTCACTTCAACCCATAACCTTCTGATTTGATGGTGAGGGTGCTACCCATGAGCCAGAGCTGACACATTGTGAATCAATGAGTGAGACTGCTTGTTGTTGCATTTCCATTGCTTAACTGGTCCGACGTTAAGTTTGTTGATGCTGATTGGTGTGTAGCAGAATCCACTCTTCACTACTTGTGGACTTTGCATTTCCAAGGACCCTGAGAAGCCATGTGGACGTTCTGACTGAAAGTGAATGCTATAAGTGCTTGTGTGTCATTATGTTTGATAGCCAGTGATGATGCGGACCTTACTGCTTACATATCTGTATGTGCTCTCCAATTATTTGTAGCCATTCTGGCCGATGGGAACTGGTTGTGCCCGTGGATTCCTGGCAGCCTTAGACACAGCATGGATGGTGAAGAGGTGGGCAGAGAACATACCATCGCTGGAGATCTTGGCAGAGAGGTGAGAGAAAGGGGTGTGTATTGTCTACCAAGTTCTTTGTCTGATTCCAGCAGAAACTTCCAAGTTTTTCCATACAGGAACTCTGCGAAAGAATAGACTGAGGGATGATCCGATAGAGACCTTTCTGATTATGGAGGACATCAGTTTTTGTGGAGGGCCACAAATTTAAGACAGTCACTAGTAAATCTCAGAGGAAATTTAGAAGAAACCTCCTTAACTAGAAAGTGGTGAATGTGTGAAACTCACTGCCAAAGGGATGGCTGAGGTTAATAAAAGTTGTATTAAAGAGGAAACTGGATGAACATATGAGAGAGAAAGGAAAGGAGGATGTTCTGATAGGGGAGGATGAAGTGAGATAAGAGGGAAGCTCGTGAGGAAAATTTGGACTGAATAGTCTCCTTCTGTTAATTCCATGCAGTTTGATGTCCGTTACAGAGCGAGTGGTTACTAGGTGATAACGGAATGTTTAGGACAATAATAAGTGCATGGGGCTTTGCAGTGTTATTGTAAGGATTGCCAACTGGGAAAACAAACCAAGAAGAATTATTACAAAGCAACACCAAACATAGACTGGAATTTCGTTTGCTAATCTGTACTGTTACAGTGATGAAGTTGGATAAACTCTTAATATCCAGACTGTGGGTCTGAACTAATTCCTGGGGTTTGGTGTGCCAGTTAACTGAAAGGAGCAGGGCTCTTTCACAATGACCTGTTTTAAGGTTTTCTTTGTTGTGTTGTTGTGGTGTTCAGGGAGGGATTGAAGGGTCTAGTACTTCGGAGGGCACCTGTGCCACTTCAGTGGACATTAGGTGTCAACTTTGTAAAGTGGGTCCATAGAAAGGTGACAGGTCCTTTTCTATGGAGAAGATTTGTGTATCAGTTAGATTTTTAAGGGAAGCGATATAAGTACATGAGGAAGAAAGGAATAGAAGATAAGAAGAGATGAAAAGGGTGGAGATGAGGCATAAATGATATCATAAAATTGTTGGGCTGACTGGCCTACTTCTGCGCTGCAAATTTTATGTAGTCTATGAAAGTTCAGTAGTTCTGCTTTCTTTTGTAATCTGAATCCAGTTACAAATTGTGTTTTACTGAATTAATCTTCACAGTTTGCTCAGGTGCTGCATGAATTTAGAGCATCATAGACACTGCATTATTATATCAAGTTCCATCACAATAGCCCAGAACCTGTTGTTGGCACCACCAGCACTTAATGTAACTGAAACTAATACCTTAACCCACTCATGTCATCCCTAGCCTTCTTTTCCAGCAGAGCTATTAAGCCGTTTTAATTAAATCGACCAACAAAGGGCTCAAAACAGGTGAGGCTTATCATCTCAATAAAATGATTGCACGTAGTAAAAGTGAATCTATTTCCTCCACATGTGAGGGGAGCCTAGAACCAGGTTATTCAGGGATTGTGTACAAAAGTATTTAGAAAAAGAAAATAGTGACTCACATTTGTATAACATGTTTCACAACCTTGAAATGGCCCAAAATGCCTTACAATGAATTAGTTTTGAAGGGTAGCCATTGTTGTAATGAAGGAAGCACAGCAGCCATTTGTGCACAGCAAGATCCCATAAACAGCAACATGGTATTAACCAGATAATCTGCTTCAGTGGTGCTGGTTGAGGGATAAATATTTGTGAAATTATTGGGAATAATTCCCCTATTACATTTTGAAATAATGTCGCCTGATGACCCCCATCTGCTTTCTCAGATGGGCAAGGTTTAACGTCTCATCCAGTTGACCATAAGTGTAATGGTACTGCATTCCCAGTGCCGCATTGGATCATTAGCCTAGATTTTTGCAGTCAAGTTATTGGAGCATGAATTGAGGCCACAATCTTCTGATTCAAAGAGAGAGTGCTGCCCACCGGGCTATAGCTGGAATGATTTATTTTCATCCACAAGATGATCGAAATCAAGATCCTTCTCCCTAAGATCCCTCGAATATCACCGAACTTCTGTTAAAATTGGTAGATTTATGTTGGATAAGGAGATTGAGGGATGTGGGCCTAAGGTGGGTAAGTGAATGTGAGGAACAATTCAGGATCTAATCAAATGGTGGAAAAGGCTGAGGGTCAGTGGGTGGGGAGGCTCAATGGCCTCCTCCAGTTCTTAAGCGAATTATGGTATTTGATTGCTATCAATATTGGCAGTAACCCAGTGAAACTTCCTCACAGTCCTGATTTCAGCTGCAAACTCTGAGCTGAGAATGCAGGGAATGAAGCCGTATCCAAGGATCCTTTGGGTTGGGGTGGGACCATCAAGACCAGAAGGGAGTCCAATATGGCTCCTGACCCTCAATCAGGCAGAACACAGGAAAACACTCTGTTGTGAAGGCTCAATTGTGTTCTTTGGACAGTTTCCAGGAATGAGCTTGTGATCTGCAGAGTACGTTATTTGAACTGATTTTAGTCAGATTCCAGATATGGCAAGAATTTTATTCTTAGCAGAAGTTATGATAGATTTTTGAAATGAACCCGCTGTTATCTCCACTCATCTACGACGATTTTCAAAGCCTCGAGCAAAAAGTTAAATCTGCATATGTTTTCATTGGCATCTCCCAACTGATCTATGGTCTCACAACTAGGATTGATGCATTGTACAGACAAGCTCAAATGTCGCAGAGAGGGAAGGGGAAATAGAGAGAAGACGAGGGGTGGGTGAAGGAGAAAGGGAGAAGAGAGAGTTCTTTAATACAAGTGGATCTTGCTGTCAGTATAATAGTGCATTAACAACATAGGCTGTTATTAATGCATAAATCAGTCAGCTAGTTGTGGGAATGAAGTGATATGCCCTGGCTTGTGAAGCAGAACTTGCTGGTAATTTGTACTGCTCCACACTTACCCACTGAGAACATCTTAGCTGTCCTGCTAAAATTTTGTTGGACTTGCACATACATCCCTTAAGGCGGCTGGAGAAAGTTAGGGCCTGTTTAGACATGTTATGACACACCTCTGTGGCCTTCACATGCTGACTCTGGGCTGGACCTTCTGGCCTAGAGATAGGGATACTACCCTATACCACAGGATCCTCAATTGGGGCTGTTATTCGACAGTTTAGGTGATATGATCATTGTTAATACAATGCCAGTCAGTTGCTAGAAATTGAACACCACAGCATTGGAACCAGCCCACCATATCTGTGCTGACAACGATGCCATTCTAAACTATCCCGCACATGGACCATATCTCTCTATTCTGTGCCTTTTCATGTGTCTGTCTAAATGCCTCTTAAATGTTGCTATTGTATCTGCTTCTACCACCTCCCCTGGCAGCACGTTGCCACCACCTTCTATGTAAAAAAACAACTTGCCTTACACATCTCAGAGCCATACAGCACAGAAACAGACCCTACGGTTCAACCAGGCCATGCTGACTATTATCTCAAACTAAACTAGTCCCACCTGCCTGCTCCAGGTCCATATCTGTCCAACTCTTTCCTATTCATATACTTATCCAAATGTCTTTTAAACGTTGTAATTGTGCCCACATCCACCACTCCCTCAGGAAGTTCATTCCACACATGGACCACACTCTGCGTAAAACATTTGCCCCTCAAGTCTTTTTTAAATCTCTGTCCTCTCCCCTTAAAAATGTGCCCTGGTCTTGAAATCCCCCATCCTGGGGAAAAGATAACTACCATTAACCCTACCTATACCCCTCATTATTTTATAAACTTCTATCAGGTCACTTCTCAACCTCCTACGCTTCAGTGAAAAACAACCCAGCCTATCCGGCCTTTGTTTGTAACTCAAACCTTCCATACCTGGCTTCCACCTTAAACCTATGCCCCCTAGTATTTGACATTTCATCCTGGGATAAAGACTCTGACTATCCACCCTGTCCATGCCTCTCATCGTTTCATATACTTCTATCAAGTCACTACTCAACGTTTTGACGGTGTAGTAAAACAGTGCAACCTCTCCTTTATAGCTAATACACTCCAATCTGGGCAACATTCTGCTGAAGCTTTTTTTTTGCACCGTCCCTAAAGCTTCCACATCCTTCCTTTGGTGTGGTGACCAGACTATGCACACTACTCCAAATATGGCGATTGAACTTGCAGAACATCAATAGTCATAGACCTACAGTTAGAAAAACATCCTCCACAGCTACCCTCTGCCTTCTGTGACCAAGCTGATTTTGTACCCAACTTTACCAACTCACCATGGATCCCATGTGACTTAATTTTCTGGACCAGCCTTTCATGAGGGACCTTTATCAAATGCTTTAGCAAAGTCCAGGTAGATACCGTCCACTTCCCTAACTTCTTCAATCATCTTCTTCACTTCATCAAAAACCTCAATCAAATTTGTGAGACAAAACCTCCCCCACATAAAGCCTCACTAACTATCCCTAATAAGTCCATTCTTTTTAAAATATGAGTAAATCCTGTCCCTAAGAATCTTCTCCAATAATTTCCACCCCACTGACTCACTGGTGTATAATTTCCTAGAGTATCCCTGATGGCACGAGACCCAGGTTTGATTCCAGCCTCAGGTGACTGTCTTTGTGCAATTTTCATGTTCTCCCCATGTCTGTGTGGGTTTCTTCCAGTACTCTGTTTCAACCCACAGTCTAAAGATGTACAGGTTGGGCGGATTGGCCATTTTAAATTGCCCCATAGTGTCCAGGGATATGCAGGTTGGGTGGATTAGCCATGGGAAATGCAGGGTTGCAGGGATAGGGTGGATCAGGGTGGGATGCTCTTCGGAGGGTCAGTGTGGATTCAATGGGCCGAATGGCCTGCTCCCACACTGAAAGATTCTATGAGGACAACCTCTTGAACAAAGGAACAACATTAGCTTTTCTCCAGTCTTCTGGGACCTTCCCTGTAACTAAAGAGGATAAAGATCTCTTTCAAGGCCCCAGCATCATCTTCCTTGCATCCCTCAGTATCTGGAATAGATCCCATCAGGCCCTGGGGGCTTGTCTATCTTAATATTTTTCAAGACACACAACACCACCTCCTTAATATCGACAAGCTCTAGAATAACATCTCCCTAATCTTAGCATCATCCATATCCTTCTCCTTTGATAAATACCAATGCTAAGTACTCATTAAGGACCCCACCCGCTTCCTCCGGTTCCATACATAAATTCCATCCTTTGTGCCTGAATGGACCTTTCACTAACGACCCTCTTGCTCCTAATATGTGTGTAAAATGCCTTGGAATTCTCCTTAATCCGACTTACCAAGGACATTTTATGGCCCCTTTTGGCTCTCCTAATTCCTTCTTTAACTTTTCCCTGCTTCCCTTATACTCCTCAAGGGCTTTGTCTAATTTCAGTTTCCTAATCATTAGATATGCTTCCTTTTTCCTTTTTGACTGAACTTTCAATGTTTGTTATCATCCAGGAATGTTGCCATCCTTATCTTTTATCATGACAAGAATGTGCTCGTCCTGAACTCCAATCAACTGGCCTTTAAATGACTCTCACATGGTGGATATGGTTTTACCCTTAAACAGCCGCCCCCAATCTAATTTCTCCAGTTCCTGCCAAATACTGTAATTAGACTTCCCCCAATTTAGCACTTTCACCCAAGGACCAGTCTTATCCTTGTTCTTAAAACTTCCAGAATTATGATCACTGTTCCCAAAATGCACCCCCACTGAAACTTCAATCACTTGGCCAGGCACATTCCCCAATACAGGGTCCAGTATGGCCCATTCCTTATTTGAACTATTTACATATTGTTTCAGGAAGCCTTCCTGGATGCACCTAACAGGTTCTGCCCCATCTAAGCCCCTGGCACTAAGGGAGTCCTATTCAATATTTGGAGAGTTAAAATCACCCATAACAGCAACAACCCTGTTGTTTTTACATCTTTCCACAATCTACCTACATAATCTGTTCCTCTGTCTCCTACTGGCTTTTGGGAGGCCTGAGGTGTAACTCCATCGTAGTGATTACACCTTCCTTATCCCCTGAGTTTGACCTAGATGGCCTTGCTGGAGGAGCCCTCCACAATGTCTTCTCTTAGTGTAGTTGTGACATTCTCCTTAATCAGTAATGCAACTTCCCACCACCCCCCACTCCCCACCACTTTTACATCCCTCTCTATTTCACCTGAAACATCTAATTTCTGGAATGTTGAGCTGCCGGTCCTGCCCTTCTCTCAACCAAGTTTTGGTAAATGCTACAACAACATAGTTACATGTACCAATCCAGGCTCTCAGCTCATATGCCTTATCTGTTCTACTTGTTGCATTAAAATAAATACACTTCAGACTGCCAGCCCAGCTCCGTTCGTTAACCTGGCCCGGCTAGTCCTTCCTATTAAACTTACCTGTCTTAACCTCTACCACCTTCTCAATCGCTACGTAAGCTGACGTACTGCTCTGGTTCCCACTCCCCTGCCACACTACTGTTGGGCTGAATGGCCTGTTTCCACACTATGGAATAACTAGGTTGGAATCACTAGTTTAAACTGTCCTGAGTGACACAAGCAAACCTCCCGCCAGGATATTGGCGCTCCTCCGTCCTTCTTGTACAGGTCCCACTTGTCGTGCAAGACATCCCAATGATCCACATACCTGAAGCCTCCCTCCGACACCAGCTCTTTAGCAACTTATTTAATTGTACGATCATCCTATTCCTAGCTTCACTGGCACGTGGCACAACAGGTAATCCTGAGATTACAAACCTAGAAGTGCTGCTTTTCAACTTCCTAGCTAACTCCCTGAACTCCGTTTGCAGGACCTCATCTATCTGTCTGCCTGTTTCGTTTGTACCAGTCTGGACCATAGCCTCTGGGTGCTCACCCTTCCCCTTCAGAATGTCCTGTGCCTGCTCAGACATGCTTTACCCTGGCACCAGGGAGGCAACACGATTCAATTCTGTATCTGTTCTCCCTCTCTCTCTTTTTCTTATCTTTGAACGACATCCTGTTGGCCACATGGAGCATAGCTCTGGAGCGCAGGTGGGTGTGTGGGGGAAGGAGTGAAAGTTGTGTATTAGGTCACCTCCCTAACATGGTATTGCCTCGCAGCAATCTCCCTTGAGGAGGATTCAGGATGGTAATGGGTAGCCAATTGTTAGCAACTGAGTGCCCAATTGGAAGCAGAATTGTCATATCACTGACAGCAGCTGAAAGCCAGCAGTTGGCTGGAGGTGCCCTCCTGCTGGAGTCGGGGGGATGGGATGGGTTGGGGGTGCAGTTACCATTGAGGCCTCTTCGAATTTTACCCACCTTGCCGTGGAGCCAGGACTTAACGTGGCTGCAGGCCATGCTTTGGAAAGTTTCTCCCTCCTCATTGATAACTTCGTTGCTATGGCAAACGTTAATTTTTTTTAACCAATTTTTTAAAAATGAGTTGCTTAGAGAGTTCCTCCATCCTAAGGCATCCTTGTTGCCCCCTTCCTATGTTGGTGGGGCCCATCTCACTTACTCTCTCTTCTCTCTCTGTCTCTCTCGGTGTAGCTGCCAGCCACCAAGACCTCAAGAGGTGCCTCGGGGAGGTGATGGCCTGGTAGTATTATTGCTGCACTGTTAATCCAAGTTATGTTCTGGGACCTGGCTTCGAATCCTGCCATTAGCAGTTGTTGAAATTTTAATTCAATAACAAAAATCTGTAATTAAGATTCTAATGATAATCATGAATCTATGTTAGGAAATACCCATCTGCTTTACTAATGTCCTTTAATGAAGGAAGCTACCATCCTTATCTGGTCTAGCCTCCATGTGACTCCAGACCCACAGCAATGTGGCTGACTCTTAACTGCCCTTTGGGATGGTCAATAAATGCTGGCCTAGCCAGCAACCCCCCAATCACTTGAATGAATAAAATAAAATCCAATTGGCCCCTTCAGCCTGCAGAGCCCATCTGATGGCCCTCATTGGATGGGGATTCTGGTGGTGTCCTGGTAATTGGCCACATGGGAAATTATGTAGGACTCCGACCTCATCACAGTCAGAACTATATCTGATTTGGTTCTAATTCATTCAGTTTCCTTTTTCACAGCCCCTTGCTTCTTTCCCAATCCCAAAAACTTGTTGCTTAAGGGCCTGTTGTTTACTGAAGTCTCAAATGTTTCATTGTCCACAACACATCATTACTGGCTCCCACTTCTTTTAAGTTATGAGACAGATCATTTCAAGATGATAGAAATGGGTAGCAATCTAAGATGCACCACTCCAGCCCAAGCACTGTAAAATGCTGCCATCTGTTCGGATATGTTAACATTTCTAGTTTGATTCCCATTCATTATGGAGTCCCTCCAGGACTAGTATTAACACTGAACAATTCACCCTTCAGCTGTTAGCCAGAGAAAGCCTCACATAATTTAGGCCAACACAGCCTGTGCATTACTGAGGGGGCGTTGTACTGTCAGAAGAGCTGTCTTATGGATGAGGCATTAAACTGAGGTCCCATCTCCTTTCTGAGATGGGTGTATGAGATCCAATGGCACTACTTCTAAGGAAAGCAGAGAACTTTTCAATAGTACCTTCATCAATACTGATCCCTCAACCAACATCACTAAAATCTAATTAACTGGTCTTTCTCTCATGGCTGCTTGTGGGCTCTTCTTGTGAGCAAAGTGGCTGCCACATTTCATACATCGCAATAGTGACTATGTTAGAAAAGCACTTCTCTGGCTGTTAATTACTTTGTGGTATCCTGAAGGGGCTGCAGGTGCAACAACAGAAATACAAGTTCTTTGCTGGGAAGTATAGAGTTTTAAAAAATGTGTTTGAATATTCTGTGCCTCACCTTCCAGAGAAAGTATTTATCGACTGCTACCTCAAACCACTCCAGAAAACATCAACAAGAACTTTGACCAGTACACGATAGATCCAGGAACACGGTACCCCAACCTCAACTCAAATTGTGTACAGCCTCACCAGGTAAGACCACAGTGACACACACAGACTGGGTAAAACCTTGCATTCACAGAATGTTACACTGTACGTGGACGCCATTCACTCCTTCGTGCCTGTGCTGACTTTCAAGTAGTGTCCGTCCCACAATCCTGTTGTTTGTCCATAAACTTGTGAGTACTTCCCTTTTTGAAGGTTATTATGGAATTGACTTCCATTGCCCTGTTAGACAGTGCATTCCAGATCACGCTAACTCGCTTTGTAAAAAAAAATCCACATTGCCTCTGCTTCTTTTGCTACTCACCTGAAATCTAGGTCTTCTGGTTAATGACCTGTCAACCACTGAAGACAGTTTCACCTTATTTGCTCCATTTAAACCTTTCATGATTTTGAAGACATCTATTGAATCTCCCCTTAACCTTCTCCTCTCCAAGAAGAATGATTCCAGTTACTTCAGTCTATCTCTATAACTGAAATCCCTCATCTGAGGCACCGATCTCATATGTATTCTCTGCAGCCACTATTTTTTCACACTTGGCATGTGAACATCGCAGTGAAGCCAAGTGTTTATTGCCTTTTCCTAATTGCCCTTGAGAAGATGTTGCTGAGACAGCACCTTGGACCACAGCAGTCTGTGTGGTATGGGGATACCTACCATGCTGTTTAGAGGGAAGGACCTCCAGCATTTAATCCCGCAACAATGGAGCATCCACAATATTGTTCCAAGTCAGGATGGAGTGTGCCCTGTGAGGTTGGTGGGGTAAGAACATAGAGATGGTACTGTTCTAAAGAGAATAAAAGGAACCTTTTTTTCTTTAACGTCCTTCAGGTTCGTGAGCTGTACATCACAACCGATCTGAAGAACTGCCCACTAGAAAGAGTAAACTCCTTGCGAAAATCTATCAAAGTGTCACGTCATGGTGAGTCAAGTTTACCAATCTTTGGTGATCCCCTGTACACTGGGGAGAAGAAACACAGACTGCTTTGCCTAACACCTCCGCTATATTGGTTAAAAAATGACCCTGAGCTTCCAGAGTACAACAGGACCTTGATCAGATGGGCTAATGGGCCAAGGCGTGGAGTTTAATTTAGATAAATGTGAGGTGTTGCATTTTGGTAAGGCAAATCAGTGCAGAACTTATACAGTTAATGGTCGGGTGCTGGGCAGTGTTGCCGAACAAAGAGAATGAGGGGTGCAGAGTGCACAGTTCCTTTAAAGTGGAGTTGCAGGTAGACAGGGTGGTGAAAAAGGTGTTTGACCCCTCATTGTCAGTGCATTGACTATAGGAGTTGGGATGTCACGTTGTTGCTGTACAGGACATTGGTTAGACCACTTTTAGAATATTGCATTGAACTCTGTTTTTCCTGCTAGAGGAAAGATGTTGTTAAACTTGAAAGGGTTCAGAGACAATTTACAAGAATGTTGCTGGGACTAGAGGGTTTAAGTTATAGGGAGAGGCTGAATATGATGGGCGCTTTCTTCCCTGGAGCGTCAAAGGCTGAAGGATGTCCTTATAGAGATTTATAAAATCATGAGGGGCCTGGATAGGGTGAATACCAAAGGTCTTTTTCCAGGGTAGGGGAGTCCAAAACTGCAGGGCGTAGGTTTAAGGTGAAAGGGGAAAGATTTAAAAGGGACCTAAGGGGCAATGTTTTCACACAGAGGATGGTGCATGTATGGAATGAGCTGCCAAAGGAAGCGGTGGAGGCTGGTACAATTACAACATTTAAAAGGCATTTGGATGGGTACATGAATAGGAAGGGATTAGAGGGATATGGGCCAAATGCTGGCAAATGGGGCTAGGTCAGTTTCAGATATCAGCATGGACGTGTTGGACTGAAGGTTCTGTCTCCGTGCTGTATGACTGTATAACCTCCAGAGATCACTACTGTAGCTCCTGCCCTATCCTCTTGACTATTTGTGTATGACTTGTGTGTGATGGGAACTTGCAAGGCAAAATTTTCTCCTTCATCTACTGCCTGGATGGTCAATAAACGTTGGTTACTCCGATATCCCAAGAATGAGCAGCAAAAACAAAAAATCTGTTCATGTCCTAATGCATTTAAATAATACCTTATGGAGATCTAACTGTCCCAGGGTGCTCCACAGCCAGTTAAGTGTTCAAATACAAACAGTCAGTCCTTTTGAAGAGAGACTGAGTAGCGTGGTCTTCTATTCTGTTGAGTTTAGTGCAATGACAGGTGTCCACATTAAAATGTATAAACGTTTTAGATAACTTGACACAGCAAGTGTTGAGAGGCTGTTTTCCCTGCCTGATGCATCAAGAGGACTGAATTCAGCAATTTAGGACTGAGAGGGTGCAAAATGTCTGCACTTAAATGGTTTCTTAGGATCTTAGAAATTTGTTATCCCAGTGAGCAGTGGCTGCTCTGAGTTGAGGATATTTTTGGGCACTAAGGGAATCAAGAATGATTCAGGAAAGTAGAATTGTGACAGAAGATCAGCCATAATCTTACTGAATGCTTAAACAAGCTGAAGGGACCAGCTCCGGCTTCTAACATTCTTATATCAGCAGTTTTACTTTCATTATTGTATCTGGTGCTGCGAAAACATTTACAGGATTACAGAATTGTTCTGGCACAGGAGACCATTCAGTCCATTGTGACTATGTCGGCTCTCCGAATGAACAATTTACACTGTGTCATTCCATTGTCTTCACCCGAAAACCTGTACATTCTTCCTTCTTCAGATCATAATCAGTTCGCTTTTGAATGCTTTGATCAAACCCACCTCTCCTGTGCTTTCAGACAGTGCACACCAGATCTCAACCACTTGCTGCATGAAACTGTTTCTCCTCAAGTCTCCATTGCTTCATTTGTCAATCATCTTAAATCTGTGTCCTCTCATTCTCAGCCTGGCCTTGGGAAGCGTTTCTTCCTGTCTACTGTGTGCAGACCCCTTTTAATTTGGAATATCTCTTTCAGTTCTCCTCCCAACCTTCCCTTCCCAAAGGAGAATGGTCCCAACTTTTCCAATCTATCTCTGTAACTGAAGCACCTCATCTCTGGAACCACTCTTGTGAATGCAATTTATGTAATTTTACTGAAGTACTGACCTACAATTACTCATACTTAAGGAAAAGACTAGAGTGATGATCCCACACATTCAACTTCTGATTCTAGAAAAGCAAACAGAAGAGAGTCTTGGGAGCTTACAGTTTCTGGCATCAGTGCCAGCTCTTTACAGATTACCTATTACAGAAGGAGGTCTTGAGGCCAGGTTGACAGTGCCTTGCCTCTGAGCCAGAAACTCTGGTTTCATGTTACGCTCAAGGACTTGTTGGCAATGGAAGGAACATTTATGAAATAGTTCAGTATGGTTGGTTAAAAGCCTGTTCATCCTTGCAACTTTTCCCCAATACTCTCCAAAGAGGAAATAGAAGTTCTTTGAGATATGAAGCAAAAAAACATATTACAAAGTGTTCATAGATAAGACAGGCCTTCCACCTAACTTTTCATGTTGCTATTTATGAAGTACACAAGCTTCCTCCCACCGTACCAGTGTATATGTAGGTTACATTTAGTCTAAGGATTTTCAGTCAATTTCATAATATACCTCAATGTGTAACCCTGGTCTGTGCACTACAAGAAGGATGTTGAAGCATTAGAGAAAAGATTTACAGCCATGTAAACTACAATTGGTTGTTTGTAACTTTCTGGGCAGGCTGGAGGTCACTACTCGGGGAAAGAGGTGACTTGATAGAGATCTTAAAATTTGCGAAAGTTTTCAGTAAGCTGAACCTGTAAGTGAACCCAGAGAAGGGAGCACAGTCATTAACATTGATTAAGTTCTGGAGGAATTTCTTTATGGACAGGGTGGAGGGAATATCAAACTCTGCAGCATGAAGTGGTCACACAAATAGCACTGGTGCCTTTACGGAAGGCTTGATGTGTATATATAGAGACATACACCATAGAAACAGACCCTTTCCAAATAGACCATGTTCCCAAACTAAACTAGTCTCATCTGCCTGAGCTTGGCCTATATCCCTCCAAACCGAAGAAGAAAGGAATACACAGACAGAGTGGGAGGGGAGAATTAGAATTAGATTTTATTGTCAAATGTACTCGAGTATAGGAATGCAGGAGTGCAGTGAAAAGTGATACAAAGTCGCAATTCTCCAGCACCATCTTGGTTATGGACTTGATTACAAAACCAAATTAAAAATCCAGTAGAAATAAAGGAAACAAAGTCAAAAGGAATGAGAAAGGTCTGGATATTATCTCCATGCAGGCACCCAGACCAAACCACAGCAGGGAGTCTTGTGAGAAGCCGAGTGCTTGCTGCTGATGTTATCTCTCTCCCCCTCACACACATACTCTCTCTCACCCCCTCTCACGCACACGCGCACACACACGCACACACATATACATATCTATGGAATAAATCTGTATTTGCAGATACATTCTATTTTGTTTAAAAAGCACACAATTTATAGACAGTCAGTCAATGTGGCGTTTTATAAGTTCCTACTTTAGAAATAAAACCAGTCTGACTCCAAACCAAAACACACACGGATTCTAAACAAGACCTCACACCTAACATGCATTATTTGACCTAAAATGTCACCTCTTCTTTACACTAATAAAACCTTTAGTTCTCTCAGGACAGTGACTTGAATTTGGGGATTTACAAATACATACTTTTAACTGATTAAAGATTTAACAGCATCTTAGATTTGTTTAATACGTCCTCATCAGTGTTGTGACCCTTTGATCTTTTACTTCTAAATTCTGTGTCTGATACTACCTCTCTCACTAACACCTGAAGGAGGAGTGAGGCTCCGAAAGCTTGTGTTTTCAAATAAACCTGTTGGACTATAATCTGGTGTTGTGTGATTTCTGAACATGTTACCTTAAGAATCTCATATGGAGCATAAACACAAGTGGGGCTGAATGGCTTATTTCCTGTAAATGTATGATCTGGAAATGCTGCGTGCACCTTTGACCAACCTGCTTATCCATTGTTTTGTCTTATCTCTCAATCCCAGAGTCGGAGGTTCGTCCCAATAGGCTTTTAACCTGGTGCCAGAAGCAAACCGAGAACTACAAGAATGTGGCAGTCACTGACTTGACCAGCTCTTGGAAGAATGGCCTAGCTTTGTGTGCAATCATACATCACTTCTGTCCACATCTAATGTAAGATTTACTTCTTGCATCATCTGTAAGAGTCGCTTGATGCTAGGAACTTGAACATTTTGGGAGCCAGCCAAACTGCTGCTGACTTTGTTTGGCTCCTGTATATCTAGGAGTCTGTTGGAGAGGACTGTTGGAAATACAGGGCATGAACGTGTCTGTTTGCTTTAAGAATGAAGGCATGAGTTCTCACTCTCCAAATCATAGGCTGAAACAACAGTGAGGCTGGCCATTCAGCCCAGCATGTCCATTCTAACTACTTCATACAATGGGCCCTGGTCTTTACCCATTGTGCCAATTCTGGCCCCTTGTCCATCTCTAACACTCTTTATTCCATCACTAGTAGTGATGCTTTCTCCTGTCTCGCTCCTCTGATCTCCTACTCCTCCCTGATGGCTCTGCCTCTTCACCTTTCTTTCCTCCTTTATAAAAAAACTCCTTAAAACTGGCCTCTCTGACCAAGTTTATGGTTACCTGGCCCAGTATCTGTTTATGTGTTAAACCTTCTACACTGATTGTGTCCCTGTGAAACATCGTGGCATGTTTTATTCTGTACAAGATTCTACGTTAATGTAACTTGTCATTTTTTTTTGTAAGATTGGGCGTGTTCTGCTTCTATGGTGCAAAGCATTTTGACTATGCTGATGAATGTTCAGTATTATTGAAGCCTGTGATTTGGTACACAGGAAATCTGCTTTCAGCCCCCAAACCCCACACCCACCCCAGCCTCCAGCTCACCTTTCACTTCCCTACCCTGACGATGTGATTATTCTTCATTCATCCCCAGTGATTTTGATGCACTGACTGAAGAGGATGCTGCCAAAAACAACCAGCTGGCCTTTGATGTAGCAGAACGTGAGTTTGGGATCTCTCCAGTCACCACAGGGAAGGAGATGGCTTCAGTCCACGAGCCCGACAAACTCAGCATGGTCATGTATCTCTCCAAATTCTACGAGTACTTCCGCGGAAAACCACACTCAATTTCCTGTGAGTGATCCAGTGTGTGTCAGTGAACATTTGATAAGCTCCAGTATTGATCATCATGTCAGCCAGGGCTCAGTGGCTCAGAGCATTGTGGGTTCACGACAGAGACTTGAACACCACCAGCCCTACGCTCCCTGTGCTGTACCGGGGGAGCGCTGCGCTGTCGGGGGGTCTGTACCGAGGGAGCGCTGCGCTGTCGGGGGGGTCTGTACCGAGGGAGCGCTGCGCTGTCCGGGGGGGTCTGCTTTTCAGAGGAGATACTTAAACTAAGGCACCATCAGCCCTCTTAGGTGTATGTACAAGTTACCAGTGCCAGTATTTTGGAGAAATAAGGACACGGCTTTTAAAACCTAACATTTGACAGCTGGTATCAGTCAGCGAGCACAATGGTGTTTGCGCTTTCTTGGAATATGAGCAATGCTGACAGGGCCAACATTGATTGGTCCATTGAATAAGTGGTGGACCTAAAGGAGGCTGGTGAGTGTGTGGATATGTCAGGCTGGATGACTGCGGAGAAGGGCTGCTAAATACGTGTCTGGGAGGAAGGGGACTGGGATATGTGCATCAGGGGACAAGGTGCTTTTGGAAGTTTGTGTGTCTTTTATATTAATATGATTTATTGTTGTATGTTGATCTATAATACATGAACTTTAACAGTTACCATAGAATCATAGAATCCCTACAGTGTGGAAACAGGCCCTTCAGCCCAACAAGTCCACACTGACATTCAGAGCATCTCACCCAGACCATCCTCCTAATCTGCACATACCTGCACACAATGGGCAATTTAGCATGGCCAATCCACCTAGCCTGCACATCTTTGGATTGTGGGAGGAAACCGGAGCACCCGGAGGAAACCCACACAGACACGGGGAGAATGTGCAAACTCCACACAGACAGTTGCCCGAGGGTGGAATCGAACCCGGGTCCCTGGTGCTAACCACTGAGCCACCATGCCACCCCAATTATATACTGAATGTTACTAATCTGCTTTATGGCTGACTTGTTTTTTTTTTGTTGGCATCTGGGGTTATGTTAATTGTCAAATGTTAAACTGAGGATATATTGGAAAATACTTTGCAAAGTCTTGTGGTAGGCCATTTCAGAGGCAGGTAAGAGTTGATATAAGTCTGGAATTACTGTAGACCAGACCATATAAGGTTGGCAGATTTCCTTTCCTAAAGAATATTCATGATTCAGATGGATTTTTTTTTGTAATAATGTAGGAGATTCATGATCATTATTGATGGAACTAGCTTTTGGTTCCAGATATATTTAATTAATTACCTTACCTAGTAAGGGGACAAAATGTACACCATCAAATCTCCCAGCTCAGCGAACACACCAACATCTACAATCAATTGATGTTTAAGTTCACTTGCTATCTTTTTGGAATTTGAATTCTTGTCAAGATTGTTTGGTCCATTGTTAATGTGCTGGCTCTTTGAAAAAGCTTTTCCATTATTGCTACGCACCCCACCCCCACCTTTCCCATAACCCTCTAAACATTCCCATTCATATATTTATCCATTGTTGAAAGTTGCTTTTGACTTTGCCGCTATATCCCTTTCAGGCAATGTATTCCCGATCATAAGGCCCCTTTAAAATGTCTCCTGAATTTTTTTTGTCAATGGAAAGAGTTTAAAATAATATTGACAACTTTAGTTTGTCTTTTTTGTCTTTTTCCAGCAGCGTTATTCAGACAAGATAGCAACAAAATGCCTGCACCTTCAACCAGGCAAACAAATTCAGTCTTCAATGGTGTCAACTTGTTGCAAAGGAAACGGACACCAAAGGTAAGGAGATCGTAACAAGTTCTGTATTGGATGCGTAGGATTATTGGAATTTGACATACGAAAAAGATCGCCTGAAATTTGATAGGGCAGACATGGAGCAGATGTTTTCACTTGTGAATCAGACTAGAACTTGGAGCCATAAATACAAAATAGTCGCTAATGTATTCAATGGGGAATTCAGAAGAAACTTCTTTCCCAATAGAATTAGAAGATGGAATTCACTATCAGAGGGAGTGACGAAAGTTATATAGATTTAGACTGTAAGGGCAAGGAAGTGATGCAACATGTCTACCTTGGTCAGAGCACATTTGGAAGGTTGTGTTCAGTTCTGGACACTTTATTTAAGGAAGGACGTTGAAGCCCTGGAGAGAGCTCAAAGGAGATTTGGTAGAATGATACCAGGAATGTTAGATTTTAGAGGGATTTTAGATACAAGGAAAGATTGGAGAGATGGGGCTTATTCTGCTTGGAGCAGAGAAGATTAAGAGGTAACCTTGTTGAGGTGTTCAAAATTATGTACAATTCTGACCGGGTAAAGAAGGATATTTTTTCCACTAGTCGGTATGTCAGTAACTAAGGGTCACAATTTCAAGACTGTCAGCAAAAGAGTTAGAATTGTGATGAGGAGAAACTTCTTTACCCAGAGAGTTGTTAGGATTTGGAATGTGCTGCATGGGAGAATGGTGGAAGTGGATTCCAGAGGAGGTTCAAAGAGAGTTGAATATATATTTGCAAGTGATGAATTTAGAGGGCTACGCAGATAGGGCTGGAGAATGGGACTAGCTGGGGTAGTTGTTTTGGGAGCTGGTACTGACATGATGGGTCAAATGGCTCCCTTATGGACAGTAAGATTCTATGATTCTAGATACATTTAGGGGAAGCTAGATAAACTGATAGAGGATAACAAAAGATATGGTGAGAATATGAGATGAAGAGGGGTAGGAGGAGGTTCTTCACAAGGTAGAAGTAAGGATAGGCCACACTACCCAGTGAGACTGCTCCCTCAGTCAGTACAATCATGCAGATCTGGGTTCCAACTCCACTTTTCTATCTTCTTCCTTTATCTCTTGATTCCCTAAGAGACCTGAAATCTTTCTATCTCATCCTTAAATAGAATCAATGCTGAAGCATTCCCAACTCTCATGAGGTAGAAAATTCCAAAGGTTCCCATCTGAGAGAAGAAATTGTTCCTCATTCCCAGTCCTGAATGATCAGTCCTTATCATGAGATTTTGATCCCTTGGTCCAGATTCTACAGGCAGCAGAAAGAATCTGTGTCTACCCTGTCAAGCTCCTTCATAATAGGCCAAATGACTTGCTGTTGAGTTGATATTCAATGTTACAGACAGCTGGAATGTTTGCACAGCAGCAGACCCATCTGACCTATGTCCCATAATTCTGGTCTCACCCCTTCCTTTTGCTCCCACCTTTGCACAACTTCATTTATGTCTTTTTTTTAATATGTCTATCATCTCTTCATTACCATTAGCAACCTCTTTGTCTTTGGCTGTAAACACGCTTATGGTCTGCTGCACTCATTCATCCTGTCCCTCTGTCTACAGCATTAAAAAACCCAATATTCCAACTCCTTTCTGTTCTGAAGACAAGTCACATCAGACTCAATGTTAACTCTGTTTCTCCCTCCACAGAAGTTGCCAGACCTGCTGAGTTTCTCTAGCAATTTCTGTTTTTATATCGGATTTCCAGCGTCTGCAGTACTTTCCTTTTCATCATGGAAGTTTTGGTTTGCTGTAATAGAAAGTCGGCACTGATGTGATGGGCTGAATAGCCTCTTTTTGAACTGTATGCAGCATAGAAACAGATGTTGGTTTAAATAGTTGCTGAGTTACAATGTAATTGTGAAAATATCAGAATATCCACCACCTTCCTGTGCAAAGTGTGTTTAATATTTATCTTCCTTTCCAGCACGAAAAGAAAAGTGAAGACAGTGATGCCACAAGTAAGAGGAGGAAAAAGACTGACATGCTGTCACAAGAGGTTAGTGAGATAATGGATATCGCATGACAGAAATAAACCGAAGGAGGGTTTTAAACATACAAGATCTGATTATTTTCTTCCTGAGCAAGTTAAATCCTTCACTGGTTCAGTGATGTATAAGATTGGCCCTTTCTGTGGGTGACAGCCCTTCTGTTAATGGTCATCCTCAAAAGATGAGAGGCAAGAACCCATTTGTGTCGAGTCACTTCTGGCTTCGTGCACAGTTGTGTGCCTGGGTGCATCCAGGTATGTAAAACTGGTGCTTTCCTGTCCTCACATGGCAGATGGGATACCTAGGTTGAGTTCTACAGGTCCCGGTGATGCATGTGTTGTTATTAAGGAGAGAAGAGCACGAACCAGCAAGCTGGGCCCTGTACTAGTGTCAAGCTGGGCCCTGTACTAGTGTCATTTTATAACCAAGTTGGTTAGATTAAATGTATGTAACTGTAGACCTGTTCGAAAGTACAGTAGAATGGTTTTAGGGGTGCCTTCAGGTATTTGCCAGAGAGGTATTTACCTCATGCTCATGATGGGGAAGTAGGTGACTCACCTACACAAAGGCTGCACCAGCTTTCAGGGAGTTGTGTTGCTGCCTCTGGATCTGTAGGAAAAAAGCAAGTTCTTTGCCATCCGCTTGGCTAACTCAAAGCCAGGCTCATCCTTGCTCCCTGACAGCAGTAGTAGGCTGTCAGGCAATACAGCAAGCGTATGTGGCATCTTACTATGTGTGTGTCGTTTCATCCGAAACCCATATGCCACCCCCATGGAGGCTCTCATCTGAATCCTCTGCAGCAGTACTGTCTGCCACCTGATCCTCCAGGTGAGCTGGCAAACAAACCATCTGTACCCCTGGCACGGCTGCCTGGTGACTGAGCATCTCCTGATCCCAACTTGAGATACATGCAGTTTCCGTATCTGAGCTGGTGGCAGTGAGAGTCTGTTCGAGTGATGGGCTACTTCACTAGTGCTGCTATTCCCTTTGCATTCTCCTGGAACCAGTGTGTCTAGGCCGGTGGCAGTTATTGGGTGTCTGAAAGCAAGTCAAGAGGGGAGGGGGTGAAACTGAAGTGTAGGAAGCAAGAGGTCCATGGTCACATCATCAGCAGCTTGCTCACACAGCAGGATGAATGTAGGCTGGGAGTCCAAGAGGGCCTTAAAAGTGCTGTAGAAATGCAGATAGCAAGAACTGCAGATGCTGGAGTCAGAGTCAACACAGTGTGGAGCTGAAGGAACACAGCAGGTCAGGCAGCATCAGAGGAGCAGGAGTTCTGGTGAAGGGTGACTGTAGAAATGCAAATTGATTCTGTTTCATTTTCATCAATCCATACCTTCCTCACATTTTCCTGACATTCCCGTCTTGCTGGTGACATGTTTCGTTTGTATTCGTTCGGGTTTCTTGGAGGACTTGGCTCTGATTGCTTTCAGTACAGGTCTGATTTTTCCCGGGCAGGAGGCGAATCCCAAAACAGATGAAACAAAAAGTGCTGGGAACCAAAACAAAGTGAAGTCGATGGCTACCCAGTTGTTAGCAAAGTTTGAGGAGAATGCTCCGAGCTCCTCACTCCGGAGACAGGTGAGAAATTCTCGAGATGAGCCCTCAGTTTGGAGCACCGTACGGGGGTGAGTGGGATTCCGTTGTCCAAACACTGGATTCTACCCAAACGTGAGTGCAGTTCTATTGGCCGATTGTGGGATGAGTTATGGCAGTGAGTGGGATGCCATCGGCCAATTGGTGGATTCTGTACTGGTGTGAGTGCGAGTCATTTGGCTGGTCATCAGATCCTGTGCCGTAGTCAGTGGGTTCCATTATGGATTATGGATTATGGATTCTGAACAAGTATGAACGGGATTCCACTGTCCAAATGCTAGATCCTGTGCAGATGTGCATGCACTTCCATTGGCTGGTCATGGGATGATTTATGGGTGTGAGTGGGAACCCATTGCTAGGCAGTGGATGATGTGCAGGTGTGAGTGCAATTCCATTGGTCGATCACCAGGTCCTGTGCTGTTAAGTGGGAATCCATCAGCCAGTCACTGGATCCTGAACACATGTAGGTGGAATCCTATTTTATTCCAAATCCAATAAAATTTAATAAGAACCGACTCTTAGTTTCTGGTGTGCACACAACAAATAGTGAACTGGCATAAAATTGCTCCTACGTTATGACAATAATTACTCCTATTAATAAGGAATGTGTTTAATGCTCTTAAATAGTAGGAGCTATTAACTATGTTTTGCTGACCTTTAAGATAACTGTATATCAGACCAAAGAGGGAAGAACAGAAGGGGTAACTACTAGCACGGCCAAAAAGGTGGATACTTAAGGAAAGACATTAAGACACTGGAGATGGTGAGGTTTAGGGAGGGGATTACAGTGCACGGAGCCTAGGTGGGTCAGGATGTCAAGGTCGCTGAAAACCGTGCTGAAATCCAAGGAACTCATTGTTTCATAGATGGAGTGTAGAGCTGGTGGAGATTAGAGATATGGAAGATTGTCATTCATGAGCTTGTAGACGTTGGTGACAGGGCTGGCATCTACTGCTCAAAGGAAGGTAGAGGATGGAAGGTCAGTGAGGTCATTGAAGTAATTGAGCCTGGAGATGATAAAGACATGACTGAAGAGTTTTGAGGCCCCTGGGTTGAAGTGGGTGTACAGGGGTTGAAGTAAACTTTAGCCTCCAAACACTTTCATTTGATTTGCTGTTTGAATTTCCTGGTCCAGAAGGATCACATGAGGTTTGATTCATACTTTTTGTCATTGCTGGATAAGCCAACAACCAAAACACCAGAATCAGCAGGTGTGAGGTAAATGGGATTTAATGGTAAGAAAACAATAATCTGCATTGATTAAGCACCCTTAATGATGTTAAACATGTCCAAAGCATTGTGCAGTAGAATTATTCAACAACATTTTCTTCTAAGTCAACAAGGACATATTAGGGATGCTGAATTAAATGCCTGATCAAAAGATGTAGGTTTTAAACTGCATCTTAGATGATAAATAAGAGGTAAAGAAACATGAATTAGAGGAGCATAGAGATCTCAGAGGGTTGTCAAGATGGAGGGATTTATAGATAGGCCCTGGAGAGATTTGAAAACAGGGTGAGAATCTCAAATTAAAGGGATTGCTCAACTGGGAATCAGTACAAGTTAGTGGACACTTGGGTGAAATGAATTTGGCAGAATTTCGAACACAGATGACAAAATTTTGGATGAGCTCAAATTCGGAAAGGTGTGAGGTTGACCCGGAGGGCATTGAAATAGTTGAAACCAGAGGTAGCGAGTGGCATGGATGAAGATTTTAGGAAGATGAGGTGGAAAAATGCAGGTTTGCAAATTGAACTTCTGCTGCCGCTCCAAAGGTCATCTCTGTTAAACCAATAGAGATGCCAAGCTTGAACATATTGACATCTCAGACCAGCAGTGAATCACTGTGCGTCAACCTTTTTCCTTCAATGCTAATATCTTTTCGTTTGCTCACAATTGTAACAATTGCCAAATCTCTCTTGTTTGCTCTCCTTTCCTCTCCTTTCTCAATGTTTCATCGTTTCTCCTGTCAATTACCTGGAATGTAGATATCTGTGCCTTCCTGTGTTACAAAACCACCACTGCCCATGTCTTCCAAAGGTCACACAAACCCTCGCTTTCTTAAACCTGAGGACCAAGGCGGGGCTGTTCTCTGTTCACGGAAAATGAAGGTACAAAGATTTGTGATGTGTTATTAGTCATGAGAAATAGATGAGTACATCACACTTGATATTTCAACATGAATTGACAACATGCAATGCAAGTTTTAAAATAGATCTCAGTGACAACAGCTTTTATTCATGACTGGCTCTATAAGAAAATCAAACCAGAGATGGGGAAAAGATTGTCGAAAATAATTTTAAAAGTGCTACAGTGTATTGTAATCCAAATTAAAAACTGGGACTATGTTACTCTGCCCTCATTGATGGAAGTGCTACCAAAGGCAGGAGTGTGTGTGTGTACTACACATGCCCACAAATGTAATTTATACTGTAAATGTGGATATGGGCATCTACAAGAGAAATATAAATACTAGACCTAATGTACAGATTTTTAAAATGAATTTTAAATGAGATCTGCTCACCCAGTACAATTTTAACTCTGTGGTTCTAGCCCATTTCACCCTAAAAACTAGCAGACCCATGTTTCCTGTGGCAATATACTTGATCTTCTACACTGAGGGTGTATTAAATTTTCCTGTGAATTTACTGGCACAGGGTGTAAAACATCAGGTGACCACAAACATGAGTGCGTCATACAGTAATAGTGCTACATTTGACTTTCCTTACACCTTTACACTTATCTACCTGGTCCCTGTCCCAGCTCATTTTAACTGCTTGGTGAAGTGACAATGTATAGTTCTATCCTGACCCCTCTCTTCTCCTTTCTGTGATGTCCACATTTCTTGCAATTATGCTGGTTGAATAAGGGCATACAATTAAACCCAGGATTTAGGTTCAGCAGGAATCAACAATATTTGAGGTTTTGCTGCAAGTTTTTAAGCAGTTTTATTATTTTTTTCCTCACTGAGATCTGCTGTACATTCCAGTTTTGATCAAATCCAGCTTTATGGTACACTGAATAAGTCACATTAAAAATTGAAAAGTTTCCTAGGTTGCAGATTCTTAAACGTGCAATACCTAATGTGCGTGGATAGTGATTAATTGGCTAGAATCTTTTAAAGTAGGGCTATATAGCAAGTTCCACACATGCTTCAGCCCTGATTACTTTAATGTTTATGCCCCTTCATTAATTAATGAGATTGGCAACAAATTTCCGAGCAACTTGACAGTGGGAAAATTAGGGTAGAATATTGGCCTTAATTGCCACATAAAATTCCAACCCTTTATGTCTGCATAAAATGTTCCTATTAGAAATTCCTATGTCCACATTTATCATAGAAACTGTCAATGTCAACAAGCCACACTGTACTTACACTTTCCTGTCAGTTGAGGCACTATAGCATCACATTGGTGGGAGGTTAGAAGTAGTGATGACCCCCATTTGGATGGACACTTTGTATGATATGTGGGAATTTGGGAAATTTATAATGAAAATGTTGAAATAGGTATTGTGGTCTGAAAATGGTAAGTGAAATATATTGACACGTTCTAGCCCAGTTGTCTACTGCCCAATTAACCTGCTTCATCTGAAGACTACAGTGTGGTCTTGAACCCCCTATGTGCATACTACAGGAGACATACATTATACACTCATATTTACTTGTTTCCCTGTGGTGGTTTTATTTCTCCTGTGTTAATCCTGTTGTATCTTTTTTTTTGTAGTCTGACCTGGTGGTCAATGCTGAGCAAGTAATCAGAGAAGCAAAATACATTAAGAAAGTTGAGAGTCAGGCAGGGGCTTCTAAACGTCTGACTGTATCTCCTCACTCTGCTTTTGCTCTTACTGGGGTTCTCCAACGCCTTCAACGTTTAGAAGAAAAGCTCGATCAGGTGCTGTCTCCTCTCCCTCTCCCTCTCCCCCTTCCCTTCCCTACCCCTCTCCTTCCCTTCCTTTCCCTTCTTCCTACCCCTACCTCTGTTTGATGCTTCATACTAATCATTTTGCTTGGTGCTGGCAAAAAAACAATTCAATTTTAAACAAAAAACAGCCACACAGAATGAGGCCATTCAGCCCAACCTGCCTGTATCAGAGAGTTATCCCATTAGTCCCACTTTTCTCTTCTCCCATTAGGCATTAAATCATTTTCATTTCAAATATTCATCCAATTTCTTCTTCCAAGTTACTAAAGATTCCTTTGCTCTTTCAGGCAGCACATTCCAGATCATAACAAATCAGTGGTCTCCTTACCTCCCCTCTGGCTGTTTTACCAGTTGCCTTAAATCTGTGTCTTCTAGTGACCTTCATGTTACTGGAAACAGTTTCTCCTTAATTAGCCTCTCCAAGCTTTCATCATTTTAAACAACTCAGTTGAACCTCTTCTGAATCCCCCACTTTTGAGGGTGACAATGCATTGTTTCTCCAGTCTCTCCATATCATTGAATTACTGCAGCTTCTGCTTTCTGTCATGTGACTGTAGGAATGAGACTTATAGGAGACTGCAACTGTTGCATTTTTAATTCTGCTGCCACTCATCTTGGAGGATCAATTGGGCCTTTTAGTTGGGTAAACTTAATCACCGAGTTTAGGGATCCCTGTTGAAAGAAATTATGTGTTTTTGTGAATCTGATATTTATGTTGAATGAGAGACTAATATCCGTACACGTGAGTACAGATATGTTAGAATGTTATGCTCTCCCAGGAACTACACCATGTAGCTAGTTTAGAATAAAACAAACTGTGTAACCATTTTTATTACTAAGTCCCAGCTTTATTGCTTGTCCCCTCATTGTCCTTGAGAGGGTGGTGGTAAATTGCGTCCTTGAACTCCTGCCATCCACAGTGCTGTTGGAGAGGGTGTTGCAGGATTTTTGACCTCCACGACAGTGATATATTTCCAAGTTGGAAAGTGTGTAACTTGAAGGGAAATGTGCAGTTGGTTCTGTCCATGTGTCTGTTATCCTTGACAACAAGGTGCAGGGCTGGATGAACACAGCAGGCCAAGCAGCATCATAGGAGCAGAGAGGCTGACGTTTCGGGCCT